GCCTCCCGTTTGCATATGCCTCCTAGGAGGGCCGGATTGACAGTCTACCTTTACGCCTTACGTTTGATGCACGCCATAGGAGGCATACAACAACTGCATTAAAAGGGTGGGACTATCGATAACTTCGCTGCCGTTCCACCATATGCTGTTCTAGGAAATTGACTACATGCAACGCTGACATTGCCTGTAGTGTCTGCATGTAACCTTTCACGATGTATCTGCATCGGTCGCACACCACGTGAGTGGACCAGAAGGGGACTGACGGCCATCTTGAGCCATATAGCTTGGATAATCTAGCGTTGGAAGCTACACTTTAGCAGTTTCTAGCGTGGTAGTCAGCACGAACGAACAGTTGACCCCTGCGCTTTCCGTTAAACCATTTTATGTGTTTGTTGTAGGGCACAGTTGGGCCCATACTGTTGTAGTGCATGCTCTGCGCCTATGCACTGGGTTACTGTGTGCTGCGGCACACAGTAGTTAGGAGAATATTGCAGCTGCCTGCACCTTAGCTGTCATTCCTTCTCTAGGGCTGATATCCGATATGTCAAATTCAAGAAGACCAAGGTTACGGAAAGCAACACCTCGATGTATTATCGTGTTTTGCTCGGGCATTTTTTGTGTGCGGCCGCAAAGAAACTCCGCGGGAAGAGTTTAACATGCCGTTTCTTACATCCGCAAACACTCTGGAGAGAACCTAGATTAATTCAACCCTTGCCTGAATTTCTCACGTGACACTGGATAGGTACACTATCATGTCCATCACAAGGCGCAGATACGAATTGTACTATGGCATCTAGCACCCGGAAATAGTTCATGTAGCTTCATATTTCTTAAAGGTAGGCAAGTCAACTAGGAGTAGAGGGAAGTTCCTCGCAGAGTTTGTACAAAGACGCTTGAAGAGACTTCTACACTAGGTCAGAAATTATCATTATAAGCGACTCGAATGGTAGCTTCATAGCTCTCTCTTTAGTGAGCCACGCCTTTCCGCTAGCGGCAAAATTCCAGGCAGTAAAATAGCTGCATAATGCTGCTTAACCCCCCAAAGGGCTGCAGGCGGCTTGGCTATTCACTGGCTTCGCTCCTACATTCGCCACTCCAACCAGTGCAATACCGCGAGGCACCAAAAGCATTTGCTCACATTTGTGAGGCATCTTCGTCCAGTTTCGAATGCGAAATATAGAGCTATCTATCTGCTTTTCAACCTGTCGGCTTCTCTGGCATATCAGCTTCAACCACGTACAAATATGCCATGTAACTGTGTCGCTTGAACTGCCCCAGGACACGTGTTGCATGAGGCATTTTCTAATGTGTCGTCATCTTTCGGGGTTTTCTGTGGAGGCTTGTCTGTTCAGGAAACACCTGGCAGCAAGCACAATCGCCGTGGGGCTCGCCACAGTGCGCAGCTACCCTCTTCTTGCTGCACTCAAAATACTCATTATTCCCTCTAGACGGAATAATGGGGGAAAGAAGGTCTTTAAAGGATTACATAGCGGTCAAACACAATTAAAGACATCACTCGAATAAGTTCATGCATAAGAGTCCAGGCCCCACGGAGGAGCAATCATTGATCAGCATATGCATGCAAGTATCCCATCTAGCGGTTTCCAGTTTCCAAAGTATCCGCGAAAATTCGTAGGGAGCTATGGTAGGTACATTCGATCAAGAATCGTAAAAAATTAACTACTGCGGTTTGTTTTTTTCGCATGAATTCTTTGTTGTGAGGTTCCCTGAGCTCGAAACAACAGAACGCAATGCTGTGCGCATGTGCGCTTGATGTTCTTTTAATTTGCTGTGAATGCTAGAAGTGCTCCAAAGGGGTCTTTATGGACACAGACACCCTAGCTGTCCTTCTGCCTGCAGATCGGGACCATAAGGGGCGCAGCAATGGGAATGGGGAGACCTGTTTGAAACCCCTACTTTACTCTATATTGAGGCCCCAAATAGTCTGGATTAGAGCACCGTCATACGGAGGCCTCAATCAGACCATTAGTTGGTAGCACAGCATGGTTTGATGCAGCTGCTACCCCGCTGATCCACCAACTGTAAATTCAAAAGAAGGCCATGTTTCCCAACAAGAGCTTTTCAGCTTTGCTTGAGCCACTTTGGTAGTTTTAGCATTCTATCCCTTTTTAGCAATAGGCTTGGAGAAAAATTTCATCTGTCGATGGAAGCATACGGTGGCGAAAGGCTGTTTCGGGCGACTAATGCCTGACTGCAAGTAGATGCGAATCCAGCGGTTCCACAGTTATTCAACAGGCATGAACCTACAGTCGATTGAAAAGCTTATACATTTCTTGCTAAGTTTATGCTGACCAGTAAATTATAACGGCCAAAATGATGGGCAAGTACTCGAAGATTTCGTCAGCCCGTTGGAGAAGAACCTTACTTTGAACAGGTCAGAAGAAGAAACAGGAGTCCTTTTTCTGGGCACTATCATCAGGCAAGCGATCGCTCTAGTTGTGAATATAAGCAAGAAAAGCAAATAAAATACCTGTATGTATTATCACTCTTCAAGCCTTCAGTTACGACCTGGTCCATTGCTCTATGGCGAGATAAGCTTAACGGCAAGGGCCAGGACAGTTTGGGAAGCTGATGTATGGAAATTTATTGATAGATCGGTATATCGAGCAATACAAGTCTTTAGCTTGCAAAATCCGCAACGTAGAGGAACAGATGCTTTATCACTGATATTTCTTAGGTCTATGGCAGTGGTCCGCTTGGTGGTCACAATGTCAGTGGTTCAACGGTTAAGAAAACAAGAGGGGGGGTCCCCGCAAGGCATAGACTATCCGACGTTTCTGTCAACTATTGTGTCTTCGCCTGAAAAGAAAGAACCATTTTGGGGATTTTATCATATGAATGTCAAAGACTGTCAACCGGCTCTAGCCTACATTCTAAAACCAACGAAAAAAACGCAAGGAGCCTGCGCTTCTAAGCAGCCTCAGATATCTATTTAATAACGCATCTGCTTCCAGTGTGGTACACTGGGTCATATACTTCGGGATCGCAAGCCCATGCAAGAATCCAGAGAACATGAGCACCGTAACTAAGCCCAGCGAGAGTGGGCTGCCTGGAGAACAAAGAGGTGTATCAAGTAAAAGGCAGTGCCCCCACGCAGGCTGCGCTGCAGCGAGCGGGGCCTAAGACAACATAGCCTTAGTCAGTGGTAAACCGCGGGTCAGTTCCACGGCAAACACATTTGCACACATAAACAAGAATCGCTAGGTTTTTGAAACCAGATGTGAAGTGCCTGTGTTATTCAGAAGCGCAAAAGTGTAATCTGTCTATTCACTCGTTCGAGCAGCCCCTAGGCCTCTAGCTTGCTAACAGTTGGCAGAACGCAAGGGTTGCGAGGGTTACGGTGGATTAATCCTGCCTTAAATCGTTCCGAGTCCGTGACTTATATGCTGGACCCATGCCTCACTACGTAATCCTAGGTTCCCACAAAGTTGTTGGAAGGCATGCATGAGACCACAAATGAACGCCGTGTAAATTAGTGTGCTGGAACGCGCCAGGCAGATGAACCCTCTAGTCTCCTCAAGAACCCTTATTTAATCTGTGGTATGCATGGTAAAGTTGGTGCGTTCACCGGTGGAGCAAATCTTCATGCTGGTGGCTCTGCGGCGCACTAAAAGAAGGCGATTCTGAGCACGCATTCCGTTTTCGCGGTTCTGTAGCCGGTTTCTTACTTAAGAATATGCTCGAACTTTATGCCCCAAGCAACTGGGATGAAAAGCACCAGGGAGTTCGCGGATGTGTGTAACTAGTGAGCGCTACTAGCAGGTCGGTCATCTGATGGTTTTCAGCACACCGTACTGAGCTGATTTCCAGATATGCCCCAACCCACGTTCCCCACGGTATCAGAATCCCCCACAGCATAAAGAAGAGATTGAGCGGCATGCTGATGCCTTGTTGAGAAGTCAGCGTGCAAAGGTCGACACGCGCTTTGAGGCATAAACCGGTGTTCGTGCCGAAAAAGGCGGGGAAGGTGGCGGAACCGTGTGAGTCTCGTGATTCGAAATACGGTCGTTCTGCGGGAAAGATTGGAATGCCTCATCAGCAAATCGCTTGACAAACCACACGGAGCAACAGTCCACTTTGAATTTGAAGCCATTGACACGCCTTCGTACAAATCATGATCAGTTGCTCTAAGAATGCGTAAGGCTACATCAAGTTGCCAGAATTATACACCCCGCTGCTGCAACCTTCGCGGACGATCCAACTAACCGCGGCGCTCGTCTAGGGTCTGTTGTTTCTACACCAACTCAATCAGCCCCAACCGCGCCACACCGCACGCTCATGGAAACTCATTGCTCAAGACTCTTCCTGGGAAACGCAAGCCAAGCACTCTCTGCAACCGGAAAGGCGCGCTAGCTTGGAGTTGTCTGCTGTGTGCGCATGGTGCTGGCTTGTTTAGATACTCAGGGGACTGAGCTGTGTGTGAGCCTTCGGACGTAAAGAAACGGCTTCCTCGCCATGAGGCTACTACGTGGCGATGCAGTCTCTGTATAGAGGCTCCTAAGAATCTAGGGATAGCCTGTTTTCCTCAAGCTCCGAGCATCGATTTTTGTGGCGGAAGGCCATAGAGATTCTTTTGCATCTGTCTGCTCGTAAGAACGAGTGATGCCTTTTGTTGTGCACAGTCTAGGGTTTTGCGTTGCGTGTTTCGGCCATACTGAAATGCTTACGATTCTGATATCCAGCAATTTGGTGGCTTCTGCGATCGCTGCATGCGGCCGCTGCCACCGCATGCAGAGACAGCCCCGTGGTACCCCTCACCACAGCGAGCCGATCCTTTTGGCCTAAGCAGTACACCCCAAATGCTAAGCGCGGAAGGCGAATGCATGCATTTGAGATGCTAGTGCTGCGCCATTAGTGTGGCATTCGTATTTAGCAGGCTGTGGGCTTGTTTCACCCCTTCCAGTAAAGACCGCCTGGAGAGCGCCAGAGAAGTCTGAGGCGATTTGAGGCTGTTCAGCCTCTCGTCGCCACTTGCTACTATGGAGTTGAATGTCTACAGAGCCGCCCAAAAGGTTTGCCTGCAGAAGCCACGCACCACTGCAAGCCGTAGCCGCAAGGCAGTCGGACTTAACGCAGGATGCATTTCCCCCTCCCCCTTGCTTCTCCCCTTCCCCCACTCCCCCCGCCTTCCAGCACCAGAAAGCCTGTGAGTTGCGCTGTGTACCTTCCTCCTCAGGATGCGGCGAAGGCGGAATGCCAAAAATGCATGCAATACGGGCAGTAAGCACACGAATCCTGTAGAGGGGTTCAGGCCGGCAGTTTTCTGTCTGCCTGAACTGCTGAAAGCTCCTTTGGCAGCAGGCGCTAAATCCTTTCTTTTTCGAGTGAGGGGTCGACTGTAGCACGCACTGTGGGGGCGCCTTTTCTGCAGCTGGACGTACCAGTGCCGCAATCGCCGGGTGTATCTACAGCGGCCCACACGGACGCAGATCCTTCGGTAATTTTTCGAACCTAGGATTCGCATCTTCCCGAGCTTGCTAGACACTATCCAACTAGCCGAACGATGACAGGTGCGCGGTATTTGAGCGGGGGAGGGGCAAGAGGGCGCTAGTTTCGAGGATGTGCTTTGTGGTGCAGCAATCCACGCTTGAAGCCCAAGCACGTGAACGCCGATGATGCTCCCGAAATTCCGCTGTAAGATCGCCCGTTTAAACGCATGTATCTTTTGTCCCCTGCCTCATCAGAGCTGCGCTGCAAACGTCTAACGCCGTACGCTTGGTGTGCTGATCTTCAGAATAACTGACGGAGACTGGTATCGGGATAGGCGCTTGGCAGAGCAGATTAAGCAGGAAGAAGTGGCTCTTTATAAGAACACCAAGAAGGGTGCCGAGAAACGCCGACACAGCAGTAGCAGCAGTGATAGCAGCAGCAGCAGCAGCAGCAGTGATAGCAGCAGCAGCAGTAGCAGTAGCAGTGATAGCAGTAGCAGTGATAGCAGTAGCAGTGATAGCAGTAGCAGTGATAGCAGCAGCAGTGATAGCAGCAGCAGCAGCAGTGATAGCAGCAGTGGTAGCAGCAGTAGCAGTAGCAAAGCATCGTCTCGTGCCTCACGTGCAGTTGTCAAGAAGCGTGATCCCTCTCTCCCCGGAGGAGAAGTAGCCGCAGCTACAGCATCTGCAGCTAGCGCAACTGGGAGCAGCGGCGTTGCACCTCTTGGTGGGAGTGTGGCGCTGCATTCGGGATCAAGAGTAGCAGAAGAGCAGCTTTTACTGGCAGTCAAGTCTGAGCCAGTAGATCCTGAGGTGCTTGAGCAACAGAAACAGGTGAAAAGGCACCAGCAGCAGCAGCATCAGAGCCCTCTGGTCAAGTCGGAGACAGAAGTGCCTCGCAAGCGCCTCCAAGAAAGCAGCAGCAGTGGTAGCAGCAGCAGCAGCAGTGGTAGTAGTAGCAGCAGCAGTGGCAGCAGCAGCAGTGGTAGCAGCAGCAGCAGCGACAATGAGAGCAACAAGAGGAAGGCACGTCGGAACCCAAAGAAATCGAGACGATTGTGCAGAAGCAACGAAGTAAGCTCTGCTGTTCACCGCACCAAGTGGGAGGTACACCACGAGGCGAAGAGTTTGGAAGACGCGATGATGAGGGAGAAGCAGCAGCAGCAAGAGTATTCGCGAGGGAGAGCAGATGAAGGCATATTTCGAGAAGGAAGACGCGACAGAGGTGTCGAGCGAGACAGAAGGATGGAAATGGGCAAAAGCGAAGCAACACGGGAGGCTAGGGGAAGGTCAGGAGATAATTCTTATCGAAATCGGCGAGGATCTGTGCAAGAGGGAGAGAGAGATGGACGAGAATACTGCAGAAGGGATAGAGGGAGTGACAGAGGGCGAGAGAGGCATGTCGAAACAGGGGAAAGAAGAAAGCAACTTGCAGAAATTGACGGTGAAAGAAAGCGGCATGCTGGACGAGAGAGCGGCAGAGAGAGATACGCAGAAGAAGAAGATCGAGAGAGAGAGTGGCATGCTGGACGAGAGAGCGGCAGAGAGAGATACGCAGAAGAAGAAGATCGAGAGAGAGAGTGGCGTGCAGGGAGAGAGAGAGGAAGAGAGAGATACGCAGAAGAAGAAGATCGCGAGAGAGAGTGGCGTGCAGGGAGAGAGAGAGGAAGAGAGAGATACGCAGAAGAAGAAGATCGCGAGAGAGAGTGGCGTGCAGGGAGAGAGAGAGGAAGAGAGAGACACGCAGAAGAAGAAGATCGCGAGAGAGAGCGGCATGCAGGGAGAGAGAGAGGAAGAGAGAGATACGCCGAAGAAGAAGATCGCGAGAGAGAGCGGCGTGCAGGAAGGGATAGAAGAGAGGAAGGCGGAGAGAGAGGGGAGAGAGGAGAGAGAGACAGAGAGGTTGTGAGAGACTCGGAGAAATGTGAATCTCGAGACAAGCAGCGTGGCAGGGGGGAGAGTGAAAGGGTAGGGCGAGGTAGATAGGGGGGTTCCTAGGGGTATTTGCTGAGTGCCAGAAACGCCTCTGCGTTTCCCCAGATAGGCTTATTGGCACTTGTAGTGTTTCTTTGGAGAGGTGTGTGCACCCCCGAGTGTAAATAAGTTGCCTCCTTCCACATTTTATCCCTCGCGCAGGCACTTCTGTCGGCTTTGCCTCCCACGTTCCTCTAAGCTTTTACCTACGCCCCCGTCGATTTTCTGTGCCGTTGAGGCTTGGGGAGTTGCGGCCTTAGTGTCGTCTGTAAAGCTCCAAAAGAGCTCCTCCGTAGTGTGTTCGAGCAACCGCCATGGCGCATGTCGCGCTGGAAGGCGCCTTGACGGGCAACTGCCTCGTTTCAGTTGGGGGGAGTACAGACATTGGGGAGCGAGAGGCGGCTGGTGTTGCCTCTGAAGGCGCAGAGTTAGAATTCTGAGGAGAGAAGGGGCCTAGTTAGCTTAATGCGGGGGATAGGAGAGAGAGGGGGAGGATCTTGGAAGGTGGGGATGTCGCGTGTCGGTTGGTAGGGGAGTGTCTGCGGCGAGTTGTGCCTGAAACGGCCCCCTTGGCGGGGGAACGCCTGGGGAGTTCGTAACAGGGGTGAACGTAGACACTCCTGGAAATATATTTACGCACATTTATATACATATCTACGTATAAGCGGATTTCAGCAGCGAGACAGCTGCCGCATCGCCCTCGCTGACCCTTCTTAAGCCGCACGCGGGCTGGAGGATACAAATCGGGGGGATGGCGGGGGGGTTCCCCAGAGGCGTCGAAAACAGCGTCTTCTACGACTTTTCGATTAAAATTAAGGCTTTTCGTGCGGATTCTTCGCGGAAGGCGGTCGACACATTGCGTTTCGTCTTTGATTTCGGGAGTGCAGCCGCGAGGGCGTGCCGGAAGGCGCCGAGAGAGGAGCCCTCCCAACCCTCGCTCGAGGTTCAGCGGCAGTTCAAGTCTTCGAGCGCGTGCGAAAAAGTGCCCAAAAGTGGCCTCGAATCTCTGAATGCTTATGACGGCGGCGCTGTCTGAGCGTTTATTACCAGCAGGAGAGACGCAAAGCATCGGAGAACCTCGAGTGGCGTGGCGTTCCTGTGGGGTAGGAGCAGCGGGCAGGGAGAAAGGCTGGCAGGCAAGGAAGCCTTCAGCCGTTTCGCGGATGACTGTCCGAAGTTTGGCCTCCTTTTGGTGTGGTGTTCTCTTGATCGGCGGCTTCTCTCGCGCTTCCCCTGCGCTGCGCTGCTCTGCTGTCTTAGATGGCGAGCAGCTCCCTCTTGAGACTGTCGCCTCCCAGGCTGGCGATCTCGTTGCCTCCAGCCGACGCGTTTGCGGCGTCTGCTGACGGCAAAAGCTGCGGCAGCCCGCAGGGGAAGCCACGCATGAGCGGCTGGCGCTCCTTCACGGAACTAAAAGGCAGCGTCTTCATGTCTCGCCGCCTCTGGAGGACGGTGTCTTTCTACTGGGCAATCGCCGCCGTCACAGCCCTCATCGTCGTCACCTGCGAGCCAGTGAGTGGCGACTCTAGCGATGCATTTGCGGCATGCATGCAACCCCTAAAAGCCCCAGAAGGAGAACGGCCGACGCCTGCTACTGAGTCTGTCGCTGTCGCCGTCGCTGTCGCTGTCGCTGTCGCTGTTGTCGCTGCAAAAAGAATCGCTCGGAGGAGTCTGCTGCGCGTCAAACGGCCGTGCGTGTAGACTGCGCCCGAAGCAGCTCTGTGGAACGCCGTGTCTGTCACTGCCGACTGAGTGTGCGTCTAATGCGCAGGCTGCATCCTCTTTGCGCTTTGGAGGATTGCAAACGCTCGTAGACGGCCTTTCAACCCTCGTCGGATTCTTGCTTGGACTCTTCGTCTCGACATCCTTGTCGCGCTGGTGGGCTTTGAGGCAGCAACTCACGCTTTTCTCCGCTGCAGTGTACGACATCCTTATTCTAGCCTGCTGCCACCTCGAGACGCGTGCTTCGCAGCAGCCAGTGCAGCGAACAACGCAGCAGCCGGTGCAGCGGGATAGCCACAGCAGCGACAAGGAGAAGGAAGCAGCTGTGAATTTGCAGTTCCCCTTGCGACTGCAGCAAGGCCCCTTTGGCACAGCTCCAGATGCACCAGACCTCTATTGGTGCTCGAGCCGTTTTCGCATCTTGCGGCGGCTGTTGCGTTTGGGGTGTGTGAGCTTCCATCTCGTTTTCGACGCTGCGCAAGGCAGGAACGAACTGCAGTATCTCCTCCGTAGGCTCTAAGACTCCCCTTGCAAGCCGCTGCTTTGGAAGAGAAGGGCTGCTGCTGCTCAGACGCAAGGCGTAGCCAGCCTCTGGCCGTTGCTCGGCTGTACCTGCATGAGCAGGCTCTCTCGAGCTTCCTGCGAGGGCTTGTCTAATGTCGACAGCTCAGACGGTGCTCTCTGTTTGCGGGGGTAATGCGTGCGGCATGCTCAGATGACGGAATGCTCTCCCCCATGGAGTACAGGTGGCTATGCACCCTTTCAGAAGGGAGGGCGCTGCTCCCGTGGCTGTCTATGGCGAGCTGTGGCACCGAGCTAGCCAGGCGGGAAAAACTGCTTTTCGCCCCCAATGCCACGCGAAGGTGGACCGAGATCTGCTCGCGTGTAAGCCCCCCTTACCTCCCCAATCCCTACTTGCCACCACTTTTCTCCTTCAAAACAGGCTATTAACGACCTTTTCGAAAAGTGTCTGTATGTATGTATGTATGTGTGTGTCTGTGTGTGTGTATGTGTGTGTTTGTGTCTTGGTGTGTGTATGTGTCTTGGTGTGTGTGCGTGTCTGTGTGTTTGTGTCTTGGTGTGTGTGCGTGTCTGTGTATGTATATGTGTATATATATATATATATATAAATGTATATATATATAAATGTATATATATAAATGTATATGTATAAATGTATATATATATAAATGTACATATATAAATGTATATATATGTATGTGTATGTGTGTTTGCGGGAATATCTGTGGGGTTTGCAAAATGCAGGGATCTTCATGCGTCTCGCAGTGCCTCGCTTACGTGAGAACTCCGCTGCCGTACTCCTACGTGCACCTGCTCATGATCATGGTGCTTATTACCAACACCCTCTCAGCTGTGCTCTCTGGCCTCGCAGCAGGCAGCAGTTTCTGCCGTCTCCAGGAGGTTTGGGGGGGAAGTCTCGTGGCGGGAGAGGAGACACCCGTGGCATCGAGCGCAGTGCTAGGGCCTGCAGCAGCAGCAGCAGCGGCTGCTGCTGCTGCTGCTGCTGCTGCTGCTGTCAACAAAAACAGCGGACACCTACTTACTCCTGTCGTTAGGCCGCACGTGTGGGAGGCGGTTCAGGGTCTGTGCATGCACTTGGTGCTGCTCCTTGTGCTTCCTACATTTTATCACGGCATCATCGACCTTGCACAGAGGATAAACAATCCTTTCGGGTCAGTTTCGCGAGAACAAGGACTTACAGAAGCTTCACAAACAGACGTGCCTTCTCTTTCTATCTGCCCATCTTCAGCTGCAGCATGACTTCTCTGCATAGACGCTCTCTCCCCCTCAACATGGGTCTCTACATATATATACATATACATATATCCAATTCGCCCATCTTCAGCTGCAGCATGACTTCTCTGCATAGACGCTTTCTCCCCCTCAACAAGGGTCTCTATATATATATATATATATATCCAATTCGCCCATCTTCAGCTGCAGCATGACTGCTCTGCATGGGCGCTTTCTCCCCCTCAACAAGGGTCTCTACATATATATATATATATATATATCCAATTCGCCCATCTTCAGCTGCAGCATGACTTCTCTGCATGGGCGCTTTCTCCCCCTCAACAAGGGTCTATATATATATCCAATTCGCCCATCTTCAGCTGCAGCATGACTGCTCTGCATAGACGCTTTCTCCCCCTCAACAAGGGTCTCTCTCTCTCTCTATATATATATCCCGCTGTCTTATTCCCCCTTCATCTGTTCATTCTCGTTTCTCGGGAAGAAGTCTCTGTGTAGGGAAGGTTCCTCCGAGGCTGCCTCAACTCCCGAAGCCGCGAGGCTTGAGCTGTGCCTTTCTCTGAGGTTTAGAGGTTCGTCTGTCCTCTGGCTTTCTTTCCGCCATCGCGTCTGCCTGGTTGCTGTCTGCCGCGCGCAGGGATACCTCCATCAGCTTCCCCAGAGATCTGTACGTACAGCAGCTGGAGGCAGAAGGTCGCGCCTTCTGCGTGGCTGCTGCGGCTGCAGGATGGTCTAACGTGTGCGAATCGCAACAGCAGCAGAAGGAACGAGAGTGGGGTTTTAACCCGAGGCTCACGCACGAGGAGATTGCTGCAGAGACTGCAGCTGACGCACTCCAGCTACGCTACCTTATACAGCAGCAGTCGGAGCAGCAGCACCAGAAGGACAGGTGTGACTGCGCAGAGACGCAGCCTCTTCTTGCAACTCCCGTGTGACTAAACTGTCTAGTTTCTCAATGTAAAAAGCTCGAATGCCTGTTGCGTTCCTAGATTTTACATGCTAAGAGAGGTGGCTGCGGGTAGACCAGCCCTATACACAACACGACGAAAGAACAAGCAGGAATCGACGCTGGCAGCTTTCCCCTAAGGAGGTTGGAGGCAGCTAGCGCGATCGCTAGCTCGAAGCAGTAGTAGCCGTCACAGCCTTCCCGAGAAGTGTAGCAGACTGTCTAGGGAAGAAAGCCTCTCTTCGAGTGCTACGGAGTGTGCCTTGAGCCACAGCTGCCGTAGATTCGCAGAATCTCCTCAAGTCTGTCCGCGTCGCTGCACCTCACACAAGCCAGCACCAAATGCATCGCACATGAGCTCTCAGGAAACACCCCACCCCACCCCAGTGCAGCATGCAACGTGCGTCTTGCTTGCTTGCCGTCCAAAACCCTGCCTCGACTTACGCCGTAAAGATCCACACTCGTGGGAAGGCGGCAGCACCCCTGCCAACAGACATCAGCGAATACGTGGCATCTGCTGCAGACATGCCCATCTGCTGATGATGCTGTTGCAGCGCAGCGGCAGCAGCAGCTGCTGCTTGTGCTTCTACGGGAGGCAGCATAATGCGCTTGCTGGTACTGCTGCTGAAGCAGAAAGCCGCTGCTGCAGCAGCGGCCAGTGTCACCTCCGACAAAGGCATTCGCTCCACTCTGAGGGAGAGAGGCTGCTGTTTCGGATACAGCGCGTTCTCGCTGCTAGAGGCGATGTGGCTACGGCAAGAGCTTGCAGCGACAAGTGCCGTCGTGGCAGCTTCCGCAGAAAGTTCGGCTACGCCTTCGTCTGGCAGCACAACCCCGCATATGAGGGGAGGAGCAACGTAAGCCACGAGAAGCTGCAGCGCACAAAATGCTCAACACACGTATATACACTCCCCCCTTCTCCGCAGGTGTTGTTGCAGCACCGAGGCAGGAGCAATCACGGCAGCCTGCACCCTCCCACCAATCCACCCTCGAAGCCAAAAAAACGCGCACCTCCGACGCAGTGACTCCCACCCCTGCTGCATGCAGCTGCCACGTCAACGGTTGCTGCTGCTGCTGCTGCTGCTGCCGCACATCGCCGACCTTGCTGCTCTCGCAGCTGCTGCTGCGAGGCTGCAGCACCAGCAACCAGGAACGACTTTCCCAGTATCCTAGGGATGCATCCGCTGGTGTCGAGACGTTCTTCCTGCAGTGAGCACTGCTGCCAGTGGTGTCGCTGCTGAAGGCGTTCTGCAGAAGGATGACAGGGAGAAGCCGCGTGCCGTCGCTGCTGGCTCTGCAGCGTCCTTCGCCTTCCCGCGGGAGCTGCTGTCGCAGCTGCTGCTGCAGCAGAGCTTCTATGCGATCCGGCTGCAGCATGCCTCGAGCAGCTTCGCTGGCATGCTCGAGGAGCATGTGCTGGTGTCGCCGCTGCTGCAGCAAGAGGGTGTTGCACACGCTGCAGCAGAAAGGATGCTGCTGCTGCTCGATTGCGTCCACAAGGATAGGCGCGCAGGCAGAGGAGACAGTCGAGAGGGCAGCCAGCAGCGCATGCAGCGGCAAGGCTACTGCACCCATGAGCGCCTTGGCTGCAGTCTTGATAATCTGCTGCTGATCGCGCTGCTGCAGCACCAACTCACGCAGCGGAAATGAGGGCAGCAGATGCCGCAGCGCGGCAGCCAAAGATCCTATAGGGACCAACGCGGCAGCGACTGCGTGCGCAGCAACCGCCCCAATAGCCGTGGGCTGTACATACACCGTACGCGCAGCAGCCACTGCGTGCTGGAGGGAAGCTCGAATGCTCCCCAACGCCCTTGCAGACACCAGGATTTGCGGTGTCTGCAGCAGCACCAGCGCAGTGTAGTGTGCCAGCAGCTCGCGCTGCAACAGTGACGGAGGGGCGTGCAGATGGCGCAGCAGCAGCGCAGGGAAGTAGACGCTGCAGCTGGAAACGTCGGCGAGAGCAGCAGTTCCTTCCAATTCTACCGACACGCAGAAATGACACGCAGAAACTGTCAGCTCCGCGATGCTGCATGCGCGCAGCCGCCGACCTCCCCACGTCTCAGAAGGCGCTCCTGCCACGGCTGTTGGTGTCGCTTGCAGCTGCTGATGCTGGAGAAGGGGGGAATGTAGGAGAGAGACTGCTGCAGCAAAGCTCGTTCCCCATCGCAGCAGCTGCTGATCAGCGCGCACGCACACGACGTGCCCCTTTTGCTGCTGCTGCTGCGGCTGCTGCTGCTCGTCTTGGGGTGTATCTGCTGCATCTATGGAGAGCAGCGGCAGCTCCGTCACAGCCGGAAGAAAGGCTGCCGCACGCATCCATGGAGGAAAACGCAGCTGCGGCTCGCAGCCTGTTGCTGCAGCAGCTGCTGCAGCAACAGGCTGCGTTGCTGTGTGCTTCACTGAGGCGACGAGACAGCTGATAGCTGGCAGACAAATCCACTGCTTCGTGCTGTTGTGCTTGCCGCTTGGGCTGGTAAGGGCAGCCGAATCAAAGAGCAGCGAATGCTCTACTCTGCGCGAGTCTACGAGGTGCTGCATGACTCCGCTGCTGCTGCGCCTGGTGCTCCCGCTGTGGCAGATGTAGCGCAAGCGCTTCCAATGAGCGACCGCAGTCTCCACGCGTTCCACGTCGTCAGCAGCAGCCGCTGCTGCTGCTGCTGCTGCCACGAGAGATGCTGCTGGCTTGCTACCAGCGGCGACAGCAGCAGCCGCAGTTGCTGTAGTGTCTGGTGCTGAGAGAACCGCAAAAAGCTCGTCGGCTGACACCTCCAGTGTGAACTGCGGCTCCCACTGCCTGCTGCTGCTGTTTCTGTGTCTGTTCGCGCTGCTGCTGCTGCTGTTCGTGCTGCTGCCGCTGCTCTTGTTTGTGCTGCTCTCTGCGCTGCGAGGTAGAACGCAAGTCTGCAGCGAGTTCGCCGCTGGATGGGCTGCAGCTAGCGCAGACGCAGCCTGCGCCGCTGCCGCTGCTGCCGCATGCACGAGGGTGGGCGTCGGAGTCTCACTTGGAGCAGCCTCCACTGCAGCGAAGGCAGCTGCAGCTGCTGCTTGCCGCTGCCGCAACAAGAATTCCACTTGCTGCAAAGGGCAAGGCACGCAGAGCTGCGTGAGTCGTTCAGCAGCTGCTGCTCCAACTGCGGCAGCGGCAGATGCCGCCAATGCCTCCCACACCAAAGAGCCGCGAAAAGGAACAAATTCCACGACGAGGCACTGCCAGCAGCTGCTGCTGCTGCTGCTGCCTGTGCTGCTGCTGCTCAGCTGCATGACAAGGCACCCGCCAATAGGCTCCACTGCGAGGACGGCTGCCGCTGCTGCTGCTGCGGCTCGCGAGGGAAAGAGAAGCGACCACGGCGTGGGGTAGCTAACAGCAGCACCTGCTGCACTGCGAATCGCGGAGTGCCCAGAGACACTGCTCGACGGAGATAGTGCTCCCTTCTCTCGTTCCGTCTCAAGATGCAAACTTCGAGTTGTCGCTGTTGCTGCCGCAGCTGCGTACTCGGCGGCGAACGTTCTGGGAATGCGCGACACGAAGAGACGAGTTTCGACGTCTTCTGCTTGCCGCAACAGCAGCGGCTCTGACCACTGCCCGCGCGATCTGATGCTGCCAAGGCAATTGCTGCTGCTAAAATTGCTGCCGCTGGGGGGAGTGATGCTGTTGCACAGCGGCAAGCACGAATTTTCGACGGCGGAGGAGTCTGCGAAGAAGAACGGCGCCACGCGGAGCACACACGGCAGTCTCGCACGACTCCCCACTCCCCCCTCTCCCTGCCCATCGTAAATCTCAGTCGAGCCACCTCCTGCACAAGGGAATTTCGAAGGCGACGGCAGCGCACGAACCTTCTGAATCCTCGTCTTCAAGGGCACATAGCTGCAGAAAAACTCCCTCCTTCGACGCCACGGCTCCTCTGCAGCACCGCGAGTTTCTGCATGCCGTTTGCTTGCTGAGGGCGCGCTGCAAGAGCGGCGAGTTATTTCCCTGTATGAAGACGGTTTCTTCGGCAGCTTGCTGCTTGTGCTGCCCAGGCAGTGGCTGCACGGCAGCTGGAAAGAGAGAGTCGCTGCCGATGGAGGTGGGAGACTGAGCATGCGCCGCTGCTCGCTGCCGCGGCTGCACTAGGGGACTGCCTTCCTGCGCAGCAGCTAGGGAAGCCGTCTCTCCCGTGGCAGCCTCGAAAGCGTCTGCGGAAGGAGCCAGCTCGATGTCAGCCTCTGCCGCTGCAGAAGCGGCCGTCGTGGAAAACACGGTGAAGGGCTGAAGGAGACTCGTCGCGATGTGCGCAGCTGAGAAGGGAGCCACGCGCTCAACGAGCAGCTTTCTCTTGCCGCTGCTCTTGCTGCTTTCAGAGACGGCAAGCCCAAAAGGCGTCCTGTTGAGCAACAGCAGGGGAGGAGACTCTGCAAAGGAGAGGCAAATGCAGAGACATCCAGACACGTGCAAGCCGAAGGAAACATGCAGCAGCCGCAACAGCAGAGGCGGCAAGCAGCCTATACTGCAGGCTGCTGCAGCACTCAGCGCGTGCTCCTGTCGCCGCTCATCCTGCTGCTGTTTGAGCCATCGGGTGTCTTGCAGCTGCAGCAGCACGTCACGCACTGTGCCGCCAGCTCTCCACTGCCGCTGCTGCTGCTGCTGATGCTTTTCCGCCGGAAAGCCTCCGAAAGAGACACCAGCGTGCAGCACAAGGGCCATGCTGCCAGTCCAACGCAATGCGGTGCGCTGTCGCGGTTTTCGCCGCTCTTGCTGCTGCTCTTGCTGCTGCTCTTGCTGCTGCTCTTGCTGCTGGAGGAGATACTGTGAAGCATCGGCAAGGCGCAGCGACAACGGGGGAGCGATCTGCTGAATTGAAGCCAGGTTGCGTGGAGTGCGCTGTTGGTCCTGCTGCTCTTGCTGCAGCTGCTGCAGGAGCTGCTGCTGCTGCTTGCTCACCTGGGGGTGCGAAAGGAGAGCTTGCGGGAGCGCTCCCGTGGTGCTGCTGCATGCGGCAGCAGCCAGCGCATGCAGCGTTATCGCCGTGAGGGGATCTAGGCAGCAGCAGGCAGCCTCCTCCGCCGCGTGCCTGTCGTCCTCTTGCCGCTGCGCCCGAACGAAAAACTGCGACGGAGACACCTGGGCTCTGCAGACAGCAGCTGCTGCTGCCGCAGGAGCTCCGAACTGTAGAGACACCTCAAACGGCAGGCTGCTGCGAACACGAAGCGGGGGAGCAACCTGCAGCAGCAGCTGCTGCGCGTCGAGACTGCAGCAGCAGTCATGTGGACTGCGACGACCTAGCGACAGCAAGAGCACCACATAGCGATCGACGGTTTCTGCTGCTTTTGCTGCTGCGAATCCGCATTTGTTGCTGCAGCTGCTGCAGCAGACTTGCGGGATGCAGATGCGCGCAGTCTCGCCCACCGCTAGTGTCTGCAGCGACTCCGTCCAGCAGATACATGTGCATGCAGTGTTGCGGCAGCCCGTGCTGCGCACTCCAAAGTATGCGAGAAGCGGCGCAGTCTCGCTTTGTCGCAAGCAACAGAGAGCCGACAAGTCCTCTGTCGACGAGGCTGCTGCTTCCAGGTTGCCGTCTTTGCTGCTGCTGCTGCTGCTGCTGCTGCTGCTGGGGCATGCTGCTGCTGCTGCAGGCAGCGTAGCTACAGCTCCGTAGACGTCTTTGACATAGACCTCCAAGGGGCAGCTGTTGCGAGCCAAGCAACGCGGGTAAATCTGCAGCTTCACAATACGCTGAGCAGAACGCAAGAGACGCGCATGCACCAGCACTGCCCCTGTCAGCTCCTGCTGCTGCTCTTGCTGCTCCTGCTGCGGCTGTTGTTTTTTCCGGGAAGTTGGATGCGGCTCTGCTTTAGCCGCTGCTGATTCTGAGAAGGTCGCTCCTTCGTCGCTGCGCTCGCCTTCTCTGTCTGGAGACTCCTTTTCTGCAGGCTGCCGTTCTGCCGCAGAAGAGGCACTGCCGTTACTTGTGCTGCTGCTGCTGCTGCTGCTGCTCTTGTGGGGCCGGTGAGGGCGTTGCTTGTAAAGAAGCAGCGGCATCCAAACACACGCGAACGTAGATCGCGATGCTGCTGCAGCACCGTTGGAAAGCCGTACAGCTGAGCTGCTGGCGTCACTCTCAGCCTCCAGAGACGCTAGTTCTGCTGCAGCAAGTGGTATTGTTCGGCGAGACAGCAGGGTAGCATCTAGAGACTGCTGCGCCTCCTCCGCTATGACCGATCCTTCCCCCGCAAGAGCAGCTGCACTGACAAGATGGATTGCTGCGGTACAAAGCTGCGGAGTCGATGGATCGATGAGCTGCGACAACGCCACACAAAAAAGGGTAGTAGCAGCCGGCAAGCAGTTCTGGAGCGCATGCACGCATGCACACATGCACACACACACTCCACGGACAGAAAACGAAGGCTCTACACGCCCTACGGCATGGACGGAAAGACTACAAGATACAGCAGCAGCAGCAGCATCGAAAAAATCGCCTTTTTCCACACCTGGAGAGAAGAGTGAGGAGTCAAAAGGAGTTCATCCGTCTTTTCTGACGGTTCGTGCTGCAGCTGCAGCAGCACACTGCTGCGTGTGTGGTTGTCTACACTTAGAGCTGCACGAATGCGCAGCATCAAGGGGCCTGCCTCGCCGCTGCTGCTGCTGCTGCTGCTGCTGCTGCGGCTCGAGCAATCCAGGCAATCCGTTTCCAAGCCGCCCGTGTAGCAGAATACGGCAGCCTGTCCTTGTTGCTGCTGAGCGCGTGGAAGCAGCTTCTGCTGGTGCATCTGGCACGAGAAGGCATCTCCCGCGGGGGAGAGAGGCACCAGTAGGAAGCCTGCCTGAAAGGGCTGCTGGTGTGTCTCCTCCGGCAGAGGTGAAGGCTTGAGCCACTGCAGCAGACTCGGCTGTCTCCGCGGGGGGAGACGCAGCAGACGCCGCTGCGTCTCCGTCTCGGAGACGAGCAGGAGCGGCGTGCTGAAGCTGCCGTCCGTGTCTGCAGCAGGGGATGAAGACGCTGCTGCTGCTGGGGGAGGGAGAGGAAGGCATGCGAGAGAAACAGACAGCAGCGCAGCTTCGGGCGGAAGTATTGCAGTAACAACAGAAGCGTTAAGGCTAAGTCGACCTAAGGAGGAAGCCGTGGCAGTCCAGTCGAAGGCGTCCTCTTCCCATTGCTCTTTGGCGTGATGCTGCTGATACGGATGCTGCTGATACGGATGCTGCTGCTGACACTGCTGCTGCTGACACTGCTGCTGCTGACACTGCTGCTGCTGATACGGATGCTGCTGATACGGATGCTGCTGATACGGATGCTGCTGAGCTTCTCCTGAGATTTCCTGCGCTTTTTCCACTTGTTCGTCTGCCCGTAGAAGACGCTGCGTCTCTGGAGGCAGCAGGAGTCGCAACAACTCGTGAAACGCAGGCACTTTGCTCTGAAAGCAGTGCCCTATGTCTCCGCGATGACGGAGGTGTGGCTGCTGCTGCTGCAGCACCAAGGGAGCGCAAATAAAGCAGGCAATCTGCAGTGGCGTTCGGTGGAAGGCTCCAAACCACACTTTATAGCTGACGCTGCTGCCACGACTGCTGCTGCCAGTATTGTTGCTGCTGCAGTTCGCTGCGAGAACGACGCAAGACGCTCGCGATCCTGCAGGCAGCAAGAGCGGCGTCCAGTGCACGAGAGACGCAGCGACAGCAGCACCACTGGCAGGTGACTTCGGAGCAGCAACATCGACACTGACATCGGCAAGAGCCGCGGGAAAGACGGGAGACGACCAGCCCCCCCCGCATGCAAGAGCAAACTGCAAGGCTCTCTTGTTCTTGCTGCTTTTTCTGCCGCTGTTGCTGCTCCCGCTGCCGTTGTGTCGATGGTGCGAGGGAGGCATACACCAGACTGCCGCTCTTGCTGCGCCTGGAGGCAGCGGCGCAGAACCTCCGAATCCGCTCTGTCGCAGCAGCAGCGGCACGGGGAGCAAATTCGTAATCAGCAGAGGCACTTGAGGGGGCGCCTGCTGCAGTGTCTCTGCAGCTTCCTGCGTCTCTTTGCAAAGCTCCTGATCACGCCACACCGACGTCTTCCTCCGTCTGTCAACGTCGCGTTCCTCGGGAGCAAAGACTGCGGCTGCCGCAGAGGCAGCAGCTGTGGCGCGCCACAGCCGCACGGCATCGAGGTGTATCGACAGCTGCTGCTGCAGCAGCAAGCCCACAGCGACGCTCCCCGGTTGGACTCTCAGCAGCGCAGGAGAAAGCGACACTGCCGCCTTCGCTGCGGCTGTTTCAAAGTGCCGTGCTGCTTCTCCGAAAGCCACGTGAAGAGTCGCTCGCGAACTGTGCAGCAGCTGCAGCGACTGCAACGTGGCTGGGTGCTGCACACGCGCTCTCAGGTGTCGTAGGATCAGCGCAAGCTCAGTGCCCTCTACTGCCCTCAACGACGACGGAGTGTCAGAACCGCGAGGTGCTGCTGCTGCTGCTCGTGGGGGGAGAGGCGACAATGTCGTGCGGTGTATGCACACCTGCAGCGTCTCTGCTGCTGCTTCCAACGCGGGAGCTTCAAAGCCTAAAGCGTCGAAAGGATACTGCGCAACTCCTCGAGCTGTGGCAGCCTCCGTGCCGCTTGCCGCTGAGTGTGCAAACGTCACGCAGCAGCCGCTGCACTGCAGAGAGAGTGCCCAGTGGTGCAGAGGAGTAGGCAGCAGTGGAATTGCGCCCAGCAGCAGCAACTGCAGGGGAGGCTGCGACGCTTCGAAGTGACTCTGCAGCAGCGGTAACTTCGGCGGGGAGCGATGCTGCTGCTGCAGCAGAGTCACTTTGAAGCGTCGAGATACGACATGGCTGCCTTCAGCTTGCGGCATTCCTAGTGGAACTGCAGCAAAACGCCGCTTCTGCGCGTCATACGACTCGATACTTCGCACCAACCAGCCCTGGTGTCTAGACACCTGCGTCTTCGCGTCGTTGGCATGAGGGGTGCTGCTCGCTGCAGCAGAAACGAGAAACACTGGCCTAGGGAGGCAGAGCAGCACTGTCAGCGTTTCGCAAAGCTCCTCTTCCTGTTGTGGAGGCTGGAGCTGCTGCTGTTGCTGGAAGGCGCATGCTGGATTTCCTGCGCCTACTGTCGAGGCTGCTGCTGCCTCCACTGCTTCAGCAGCTGGAAAGTTGGGCGCAGAAACTCTGCGGCAACAGATTGCCTGCAGGGGTTGCAGCGCTGCAGCCGCTGCAGCTTCTGCTTCCTCGTCTTCGAGGCGCTGAAACTGAGGAGGCAGCGCAGCAGTGACGTACAGCTGCAGGCAGTGAGGGCATGCAGAGGAATGCGGTGGACGTAGTGCTGCTGAAGAGCATGTCGCTGTCGGCTGCAGTGTCAGTGCAAAGGGAAGTAGCAGCCATTTGAAGTTCGCCGTGTGCCTCTCCTCTCGCTGCTTGAGCGCTGCTGCTGTTGCTGCCGCTGCTGCTGTTGCTGCCGCTGCTGCTGCGCTTGTTCCTTCGAAGCCTCCTTCGTGCCGGGCAGTAACAGCATGAGTATGACTATGAGTATGAGCATTTCCATCAGCAGCTGCACTTGCAGCAGCGAAAGTTGCAGCCATCTTGGAGGCGGAGCTGGCCAAGTCGCCTGCACTCGATAGGGTCTGTAGGAGCAGTCGAAGTTTCCACGGAGACAGCCGGAGCAGCAGCGGAGACACTTGGAAGTCTCCGGTTCCTTCCGTGTAGAGAAGGTGTTTCGTTTCGGCAGGTTTTGATAGGTCGACGTCGTCGCTTGTCGGAAGGGAGGCTGCATGCGCGGAGAGGTCTGCTGCGCTGTGCAGACACTTGAGGCAGTCGCAGCAAGTCGCGGCAGCAGCGCAAACGGTAGAGGTAGGGGAGCTTGCAGATTGCGCTTGCGCAAAGGCGTAAGCGGGAAGGTGAGCCGACAGGCGTGCTGCTGCTGCTGCTGGTGTTGTTGGTGCTGCTGCTGTTGTTGGTGCTGCTGCTGCCGTTGCTGACAGCCTTGCCGGCAAGACAAGGGCACTCCGATACAGCGACAAAGCGCCTGTAATTCGCACAGGTGAGAGCAGCGGGAGGTGCTGCAGCGGTGTGACTGCTGACCAGCAACAAAGAGACAGCGCAGCAGCAGCAACGTCTGCAGAATCGACGCTGCTGAGACTTGCAGAAGCGGCAGTTTTTGGAGACGCAGGAGAGCTGCACAGGCATGGAGTGCCTTGCACTGCGCTCCGCCGTCGCAGCGCATACGACTCAAAGGAGGCAGGGGAGACACGAGGCTCTCTCTGCTGCTGCTCTCCGCGATCTTGCGGCAGCTGCTGCTGCTCCTGTAGAGGCCAAATCACCACCGCTGCCTGGTGCAGCAGCAGCCGCAAAGCCTGCAGCTCCCTCTTGCTGTTTCCGCTCGCCATGTGCAGCAGCAGACGATCCACAAACAGCTTGTTGGTTTGGCATGGCTGCTCGCTTCGCGACGACAGCTGCCCTCGCTTTCTTGCCTGCGGAGAAGCGAACGACGCTTGCTGCAAGAGCGACACAAGAGAACTGCGCGCAAGCTGCTCCAGCTGCCGCTGCGCTGCATGCGCATGCAGCAACAGCGACACACTGCTGATGCACACTGTCTTCTGATAGGGGGTAGCTGGCGAAACAGCAGCTCGCCACGTCACCTCCAAGCCAACAGGCAGGCTGTGCTGCCTTTGCTGCTCGTGCTGCTCTTGCTGCTCTGCTGCTGCTGCTGATAGCGGGTGTACAGACAGCCTGAGCGCTCGACCGATTTGCACGACCACGCTCTGCAGAGAAGCTCGCGTGCTGCTGCTGCTCCTGGTATCGGCAGTTGCATGCTGCAACTGCAAGCCTCTAAGCCGCAGAGCCACTGGCGTGGCAATCGCTGCTGCCACTCCAGCAGATGGATGCTCTCCACGACGCAGAAGCACCATTTCCTGCAGGCAGAGACGATCCTGCTGCACACGCTGCAGCAGCAACGTGAGAGGTTCACCTTCTGCATCTTCCGACAGAACGGCATCTCCAACTGCGTCCTCTGCTTGCTGCTCTTGCGCTGGATTCATGCGTTTCGGGAAACTCGAGCGGCGAAAGCATCTTCGGCTGCTCCTCCGATTTCCGCCCTTGCTTCCACAGCAACAGCTGCTGCTCACACTCTCTCCGCTGCTGTGTCGAGTCTCCCCACCAACGCCTCCACACCACAGCGGATCGTCCAATGCGGCAGCACTGCACCCTCCATACGCATCCTCCGTTCCTCCTGCTGTTTCTGCAATGGCACAAGAAGAAGCTACCAAGGCTTCCAAGCCATCAATCTCCACGCACAGCTCGCGCTGCTCCTGCTGCTCTTGCTGTTCGTAATGCTCTTGCTCTTGCTCTCGTTCTTGCTCTCGTTCTTGCTCTTGCTCTTGCTCTTGCTCTTGCTCTCGCTGCTCCTCCTGCTCCTGCTCTTGCTCTCGCTGCTCCTCCTGCTCCTGCTCCTGCTCTTGCTCTTGCTCTTGCTCTTGCTGCTGTTGTTCAAAGCGTTGGTTCTGGAGTCTCGTTGATTTGTTGGGCTCAAGCTCTTGCGTAGACAGCGTTTCCAAGGCATTCTCTTCGCTGCTGCTTGGAGGATCTTCAGCTCTCAGTTCTGCAAACGCTGCCGCTTGGAGCCTCAGCTGCTGCACTAACTGCGCCAGCCGAAGCAGTACGGCATAGTTCCTCAGATCCACATAGACTGCGGAGGCGTGAACATAGACATATGCGCCGAAGGGCATTATGCTTCGCCGCTGCAGATGCCGATACTGCGTGTCTTTTTGCGGATGACGCTGCGGAAGCTGGCTGCACTGCAAAAGCCTGTGCTCCCCACAAGCAGCGCTCTGTGAGGCGCAGCTACACTGCGAGCACGCAAGGCAGCAGCAAGACTGCAGCAGCTTGCTGCAGCAGCAACAGGCTTCAAAGTCGCTGCTCCTGCAGCTGCTGTATCCCCCGCGCTTCCGCTGGAGCCTGTGAAGCACGATGCTAACGGGATGAATGAACTGAGTCTCGCAGCAGCTGCGCTGCACGACCTTCTCGACTGACGCGTGTGGCGTTGCTGGTGGGGTTGCTGGCGTGGTTGCCGCTGCTGCACTAACACTGGACAGAAAGAGCAGTTCTTGCTCCTGCATGGCATGCATTGCTTGTTGCTTCTGCTGATGCAGCGTGTGGTAAGCGTGAAGAGTTGAGAACGTTCCGAAACAATCGGAGACAGTCACTACGACGCTTGCCTCTCCCGCTGCTTGTGATGGCAGGCGCACTGTCAGATCTGCTCTTGCTGCTGCCGACGACTCTGCAGGGGTGACTGCAACAGGCAGATGGAGGCTGAGACAGCCGCATCGCAATTCCCAGCTGCTGCGCCTCAGCAAAGGCTTTGCGTCTTCTGCTGCTGCTCTTGCTGCTGCTGCTCTTGCTGCTGCTGCTCTTGCTGCATCGACGAGCACTTGCCTCCGCTGTCTGGAAAGCTCGCCGGCAATCACGGCAGCGGCTTCTGCAGCCTCTGCTGCTGCTGCACTGGCGGCGTTGCTGCCTGCATCAGTTGCAGCAGCAGCAGCAGCGAACGCCCGAAGGAACGCACACGCTGCAGCGGGAGCAGCAAGCGGCAGCTGCACAGCTAGCGGCAACACCACTACTCCACACGCATGCTGGAGCATTAGAGCTTCTCCGTCGAGACGACATGGGCTTGCAGGAGACTGCATCTGCTGCGTAGGTTGCTGCTGCTCCGAAGAACAGTCTCTTGAGAGTGAACTTGCAGCAGGCAGTGGCGCTCCTTCCTCGTTGTTGGCTGCTCCTGCTGCTGCTGCAGAGAGTGCTGCTGTTGCTGCCACTGCTCGCTGCGACTGCTGCTGCTGCTGCAGAGAGTGCTGCTGCTGCTGCGAGTTGTCGGGCAGCTCTAAAAAGCCTTCCCGCTGCGCCGCAGCCACAGCAAGCCACCAGCTGCATCGGCTGCCGCTGCTGCTTTCACTGCAAACAACAGACGGAGAGACACGGGGGAGACAAACGCTGTTGAACTGAGGGGCGGCAACTTCCTCCTCTGCATGCAGCAGCACTGCATTCGGGAGATCCGCTGCTGCACCCTTTTCCGCTGCCGTTGCAAGTGCCGCCGTCGCAGTCGCAAACTTGCCGAACACCCTGCCATGTGCTCCTTCCTGCTGCTGCTGCTGCTGCTGCTGCTGTTGCTGCTGCTGCTGCTGCTGCTGCTGCTGCTGTGCATGCAGGAGGCCAGCGTACGGCTTATGAACGAGAAGATACCAAGCGCTGCGAAGAGGAAGTCTGCTCGTGCTCTCGCGGTTGACGCGACTGCTGCGCACAGAAGGAGGCTTGTAAAATCCGAGCTGCATCTCGCCGAAGCCAGCAGCGAAACAGCAGTGCCAAGGCAGCTGCTGCTGCTGGGAGATCAAAAGCTGCACGGCGACGCTGCTGCTCACTTCCACGCCAATCTGTTGCCACAAGCTGCTGGAGCGCCTTCTGCTGCTGCTGCTGCTGCTGCTGCTGCGCTTGCTGCGGCTAGACTTGCCCTGAGGCAAAAGCTGGCGAGCTTGCGCGTCCTCACAGCAGCACGCTGCTGCTGCCGCCTTCTCTTGAGGCTGCATCATCATCGGCTCCCGATGCTGCGCCGTCAATATCCCTGCATGCGGATGCAGTTTTTGCAGCTGGAGCCACCAGAGAAAGAGGGCAGCAGCCTCTGCCTCCGTTGCATGCAGCAGCACGCCCTTCTCCCAGGTGAGCGAAATCTGCAGCGTCGGAACGCCATCTTCTGGAAGCCACGCAGCGGAGCAGCAGGCTGCTGCTCCTGCTGCAGCCTCCGTGGCTGCGGAAGCGCTGCAACTCCCCCTCCAGCGGCAGCGGCTGGTGCGCAGGTGTACAGACACTGGACCGATCTCGACGCGCTGCTGCCACTCCTTGAACTGCTGCTCCTCTTCTAGCAGCTTCAGCGGGCGGCTCCAAACGCGGAGTGCACTGCAACGCAGCACAGACCCTTCCAAGCGCATCCTCGGAAGTGCAACACACAGCAGCCTGCCGCACGCGCCGTCGTCGTCTGCTGCCACTGCATGCGGAGATTTGCAGAGATACAGCACAAGCTGAGGCCAAGTGCAGTCCGCTATTGGATCCAGCAGCAGTAATGCGCCTAGCCGCGCTGCTGCTGCTGCTGCTGCTGCCGTTGGGCTTCTGTTCAAACGCATCGCACCGCAACTGCTGCCTCGGCTGCTCGATAGACACGTCGCTTTGCTGCACGAGGACTGGCTCGCTGCGACGGGGAAGGCTGTGTTGGGAGTAGCAGCTGCTGCAGCGGCTGTGGCAGCTGCAGCAGCTGCTGCTGCTTCTTGCTGCATGCCTGTACAGGCGCTTTGCAGCAGGGTGACGACTTCGGGGTATAGGAAAAGGCAGCTCGCGCGACTGCTGCTGCTGCTCTCGCAAATCGCGAAATGGAAAAACGGCCGCTGCAGGGATGCGCCAGTCGCAGCCTCGGCACGCAGCAGCTGCAGCTGCTTGTGCCAGCGCGCAGTGTCTGCGGTGGGGAGAGCTGCTGCAGCTGCTGCGTGCTGCTGCAGAAGCTGCTGCTGCAAGGGCAGGAAGGAGGCGCAAGGCGGCTGCGGCAGCAGCAGCAACAGTGTGCTTGGAGGCGCTATCGCATCAAACGTTGGCAACAGGCACTCCCTGCTGCTGCTGCTGCCAGTGCTGCCAGTGCTGCCAGTGCTCCGAGGGTGTTGCAGGAAGGGCCGCACGGCAAAGCGCATGCAAATGAGTGCTATGGGCTTTTGCCTCCGAAACTGCTGCTGCTGCTGCAGAAGCTGCTGCTGCTGCTGCTGCTGCTGCTGCTGCTGCTGCTGCAGAAGCTGCTGCTGCTGCTGAGCTGTCTGGGGGGGCCTTTGGATGGCTGGCTGCCGCAAAGGCGTTCTGGCACGCCTCGCGATGGCGTCGACAGCAGGCGGATTTTGAGCTGCGCTTTCTCGAGTGGGCTGTCTTAGAAACTCTTCTAGAACGTTGCCTTGGCTGAAGACAGGGAGAGGTGTCGATCGTAGCGGCAGCAGCAACTCGGCGCTGCCGCTCGCAGCGGAAGCAAACACCTCCACGAAGAGCAGCATCGCGTCCCTTCTGCTGCTGCTGCGGCTGCTGCTGCTGCTGCTGCGTATCAGCTGCGAGCGGCTTCCAAAGGCGGACAAGCTGCTGCTGCTGCTGCTGCTGCTGCTGCTGCTGTTGATTCGACTGCGCATGTCGTAGAGGGCGCAGCGGAAGCTGCAGCATGCTCCTCTGAGGCTTAGCTGCAAACAGCCTAGCTTCCGTCCCCTGGCAAGCGTTGCAGCAATCTTATCGTCGGTGCAGACGGCGGCAGCGGCTCCTGCCTCCGAGAGAGCGTCTAGCCTCCCAAGGGGAAATCCAAAGCAGCCGACACAGCTGCAGCAGTTGCATGCACTGCAGGGGACTGCTGCTGGTGCAGACTGCGTGCCTGCTTCGGTTGCTGCAGCTGCAGTAGCGCTGGCTTCTGGGGGTACAGCCGCAGCAGGCGTGTTCAAGCAGCAAACGCCACACCCCCCGCTTTCTCCCCGCAATGCACAAAGCTGTTGCGACTCCTTTGGTCGAAGAAGACGCTGAGCTACAGCATACACTGCAAACGCATGCGTCAGCAAACTCCGCGCAGCTGCCGCGGCAACCTCCACATCTGGCGCTGCTACTCCAATTGCCAGATGTCGCAATTCAGCAGCTGCCTTCCAAGCTGACGTGTAGGGGCATCTCTGGCATGTAGAGCTCCCGGGGAGGATGCTGCTGCTCAATCTGCTGCTGCTCAAGCTGCTGCTGCTCAATCTGCTGCTGCTCACGATACTGCCGCTGGAAGCGCTCGAAGGAGGACGTCGAGGCTGTGGCAACGCCGTGTGCTGCAAAGACGCTGCTCCAAGCGGGTAAGGAAGTGCTGTTGCTGCTGTTGCTGCTGTTGCTGCTGTTGCTGCTGCTGCTGTTGCTGCTGCTGCTGCTGTAAGAGTCCCCTGAGAGGCAGCAGCAAAGAACGCACCGGAGCGACTTTCTAACGTCTCCTCTCGCATCATCTCAGCCTCCAAATCCTGAAGCAACACCAGCGGTATTTCCTGTCGAGCAGCAGCTGCCATCGTAGCACCCCCACACGCTGCAGCTGAAGGCGCGCGAATAGGCGTGGCTGCACTTGCTGCTGCACTTTCTCTTTCTGCTTCTCTCTCTGCTGCACTTGCTGCTGCACTTTCTCTTTCTTCTACTCTTTCTGCAGCGCTCTCTCTCTCTGCTGCGCTTGCTGCTGGATTCTCTCTTTCTGCTACTCTTTCTGCTGCGCTTTCTCTGTCTGCTGCACTTGCTGCTGCACTTCCTCTTTCAGCTGCACGTTCTGCAGCGCTTTCTCTCTCTGCTGCACTTGCTGCTGCACTTTCGCTTTCTGCTGCTCTTTCTGCAGCGCTTTCTCTGTCTGCTGCACTTGCTGCTGCACTTTCGCTTTCTGCTGCATTTGCTGCTGCCTGCTGCTGGAGTGAGAGCTGCAAACGTCCAACGCTCAGCGTGAATCCCGTGCAGCGCTGCTGTCGCTCCTGCCGCAAGGAGGCGGGAGATGCAGCAGTGCCTGGAACAAACAACCCCCTGCTCCCTTCGAGTCGATGCGGAGAAGCCTCGGCAGCAGATACACCGTGACTGCCGCTGCTGCTGCTGCTCGCAGGAAATGCAACATGCAGCACTGGAATAAAGCAGGGGCACCTGGAAAGCAGCAGCGGCAAGAGATCCGTTTCCACAAAAGCCGGTAGAGAGCTAGAACTCATTCTGAGAGAATCGCAAAATCACCACACACGCGACTCGCGCTGCTGCAGACGTTCGATCCGAAGGGCTCTTTACCTTTATTTTGAGGCTAGAGACATGCGAAGTGCGCACAACCTTTCAAGCAGTCACGAGACGTAAGCCCACTCGAGACAGCAAGGCGTAGGATTGCCCACTGCCCCTAAACACCCCTGCATTCATTCAGCGCCAACACGCTACAATGCATCCCTTCCAAATCGAGGAGGATGAGGCTCACTTGACAGCTCGTACGGCAAGCTGCAGCCACTGCAAACGGGGAAGTGGAGCGTCTTCAGCAAGACGCGATAGCCGCCTCTGCCGTAGCAGCGGCTTGCAGCCGCGCACGTCTCTGGGGGCGTTTCTGCCGCTGCCTTTGGAAGTGGGGAGCTGCAGAAGCAGCTTGACATCTACACTTGGTAGTGACACAACGAAATGAAGTTCGCCTGCAGCACCAGCAGCCGTCTCAGGAGATGCTGCTGCTGCCGTTGCAGCCGATTTCTCTCCCGCTAAACTCCGTGTAGCGTTCTGCTTTTGCAGCTGCCGCCGCAATTCTGACTCCTGGCTATCTAGAGAGCGGCAGAAGAGGGGTGGCTGCCGACCACTGCCATCCCTATGACTAATACGACCACTACTGCTGCTGCTGCTGCTGCTGCTGCTGCTGCTGCTACTACTGCGACAACATGTGCTAAGACTGCTGCTGCTGCTGCTGCACGTGCTGCTCCGGCTGCTGAGAGGGAGTGCAGCGAAGGTCTGCTGCCGCTGCTGCTCCTGCTTCTGTTCATCACGCTGCATGCAGTCTCCCGTTGGCTGCTCTTGCTGCCCCTGCTGTTCAAGAAGCGCTTGCTGCTGCGACGGCAGCAGCAGGAAACGGCGCAGCTCATGAAGCAGAGTCGGCGTGAGGCGCAAAGAGAGAGGGCCGATGAGGATACTTGCACGGCACCCTGCACCTGCAGCAGCGGCAGCAGCAGCGGCAGCAGCAGCGGCTGTGTTGGCAGCTGTAGCTGCAGGCGCTGCTTCAGCAGCAGCTGCATCTGCAGCTGCAGCTCTAGCACTGAGAACAGAACCTGCGTCGGATGGCAGGAAAAGCAAGCCGCACTGCAGCGCAGCTCCTCTAGCCGGTGTGCTTGCGTCTTCTAGATCCTGGAAGTTGTTGCTGCTGCTGCTTCGTGCACACGGAGGCGCAGCAGGCAGCAGCACTCCCTCTGCAGAGCTTGCAAGACGTGCAGCGAATTCTCTGGAAAATTTCTGCGCAGGAGGCGCTCGTCGTCGAACTTCTGGCAGCGTCGTCGCCACTGAGGGAGTTTTTTCTCCGGCTGAAAGACAGAAGAAGCCTTTCTCCTCGAGGAGAGAGTGCTGCTCCCCCGTCGGAAGCGCCTCCTCCTCACTCCCCGCAAAGCGCCGCTGCTCCTCTTGTCGGCGCAGGCAGCACCCTGCTGCAGTTGCGTCGCTCGCCCACACATGCAAAAGGTGTAGGTACACCTCGGAAACACCCAGTGCAGCTGGAGGTCGAGAGATCAGCAAACGCCCACCCTCAACCCCAATTGCGAAAAAAGGCACTTTCCCACTGCTGCTGCGCAAAGTCGCCGGCTGCTGCTGCTGCTGCCAGGGAGCTCTCCTGCTGCAGTTCGCCTTGCTGTGCTGCAGTCGCTGCGGCTCCTGGAGCTATTAGGGTGAGCGAGAAAACGGGCATTTGCACCGATATAACTGCATGCATCAGAGCACCCCACAGCAGGGGCTGAACTGGCGGCTGCTGCTGCTGCTGCACCCAGTCTTCAAGCAACACTGCGTCTCTCTCCTCCACACTGCCCTCCGAATCTTCTCTGCTGCTTCTGCTGCTGCTTCTGCTGCTGCTTCTGCTGCTGCTTCTGCTGCTGCTTCTGCTGCTGCTTCTGCTGCTGCTGCTGCGGCGGTGGCCATTGCTGCTGGTGTCTGAACACCTGCCCGAGCCACTCAGATGACTGCCCGTGTTGACGCTGCTGCTCGAGGAGCTTAATTTTCTTGCCACTTCATGCCCCTGCGCTTCTTCCTGCAAAAGCAGCTGCTGCTCCTGCTGCTGCAGGAAGCGCAGACTTTGAACTGTCTTGTCGACGGTGCTCGTGTTGCACATGCAATTTGATGCTGCTGCTCCTTCAGTCCCTGCTAAAGCCTCCCGCTCCAAGTCTGCCCGCCGAAACTCCTGCAGCGGCAAACGCTGGTGAACTTCCTGCGCGTGCTTCCCCTGCTCTTCTTGCACATCTGTCTCCTCCTTATCAGAAGAATCTCCTAGAAGGGCGTCCACAGCCCAATCGATCCAGCGGCGCACTCTGCTGCCACGCATGCTGTTGCTGCTGCGGCAAGGGGCCGCTGCGCTCACTTGGGGAAGTCTTAGCCAAGCGTCGCTCTGCAGGGAAAAGCGCGACTGCTTTTCTCCTTGCCTGAGCCAGTCAGGCTGCGCATGCTGCACCTGCTGCTGTTTTTCCACCCCAGCTGCCTGTGAATGCATGCAAGTGCTGCGTTTCCACCTTTCCATGTCATTTTCCTTGCAAACAACCTCTTCTTCGCGCAGCTGCCGCTCGCCGTATTGCCCTTGCTGCTCCTCCTCCTCTTGCACTTTTTCTTCTTGCACTTTTTCTTCTTGCACTTTTTCTTCTTGCACTTTTTCTTCTTGCACTTTTTCTTCTTGCACTTTCTCCTCTTGCACTTTTTCTTCTTGCGCTTGCTCTTCGTGCTCTTGCTCTTCTTGCACTTGCTCTTCGTGCTCTTGCTCTTCTTGCACTTGCTCTTCTTGCGCTTGCTCCTCATGAGAAAGCGAAGGCGGCTCTTCAAACATAAAAGTTCTCAGCGTCTGCAGTTGCGTGCTGTTGAGCCGAAGGTGCAGCGGCTGCAACAACACATCCAGGCAGAACCTTTCGTCCGTCGCTTTTGCTCCTGATCCTGTTGTCTGCTGCTGCTGCTGCTGCTGCTGCTGCTGCAGGGGCACAGAAAAGTAGAGGCTACATGACCATCGACGTAGCAGCGGCTCTTCAAAGCTCCGCTGCCGCGGCTGCAGCTGCACCTTCTCGCCGACTGGCGTGTCGTTCGCAGCCACTGCAGCAGCAGCTGCTGCAGCCGCTGCTGCAGGATCAAGAGGTGAGGATTTTTTGCGATCTTCTGTTGTTCTCGCCCCTGTTGCCGCCGTTGTGGAGGCGCTTCTTGGAGTCTCTGATCCGTCTGCTCCCTCTGCCGCAGCAGCAGAGAATCCTGTTGTCTGCAAAGTTTGCGCACACTCTGCTGTGGCGGGATGAACCTCAGAGCAAGCGTCACTTGCCAAGGCCGAAGCAGCTGTTGCTGCGTCTCTTGCTGTTGACGCTGCTGCACTTGTCGCTGAAATTTCATCGGAGTGATACACCGAAGCAGCCTTCCCAGTTGTGCTACCCGCTGCTGCCGTTGGTGGGCTACGTCGGCAGAGGGAGCTGCTGCTGCTGCTGCTGCTGCTTTTGCTGCTGCTTTTGCTGCTGCTGCCGTCGTTCCTGCCTCCCCACCTATTTTTACGCGGCTGCTGTTGCGTCTGCTCCCTGTCGATGCAGACGGTAAGGTCTGTAAGGATGCACTCTCGCTGCAGAGCATGCTGCTGCTTTTGCTGCTCCTGCTGCAGCTCAAGAAGCTCCGAAAACTGGTGAGGATGGTGTGTAGTGCTGCTCTTGTTGGCGTGCGCCGTAGTTTGCTGCTGCTGCTGCTGCGGGAGACGGACGCGGAGAGAGTACAGAGCAACCGACACGGAGTGAGAACCTTGCAGCAGCTTGATGTTGCAGTTTGTCACTTGCAACTCAGCGCTCAGCAGCAGCGGCATCACCAGCGAAGCACCCCACTGCCGCGTCTCCTCCATCAAGCTGCTGCTGCTGCCACTCCTCCTTGCCGCTGCCGCTGCTGCGCCAGCAGCAAGATCTCCGTCCGCATCGCCTTCACCTGCAGCGGCAGCAGTGGCTGATGCTGACGAAGGCACGACGTCTGAGAAAGTGTTCGAGTGTCTCGATCGGGCAGTCGCCGCTGCTGCTGCTGCTCCTCCTCCAGCAGAGGAATTAGCCCCCTCCGCTGCCGCTGACGGCACAGAAGCGCCATTGCTAGGGGAGCAGCAGCTGCTGCTGTTGCTGTTGCTGCTGCTGTTGCTGTTGTTGTTGCTGTTGCTGTTGCTGCTGCTGTTGCTGTTGTTGTTGCTGCTGCTGTTGCTGCTGCTGTTGCTGCTGCTGTTGCTGCTGCTGGTGCTGGCCTCTGCAGGAGCGCACTTGCTGCTTCCAGCCGGAACGTTTCCGTTCTCAGCGCAGCTCCCGCCAGACTTCTTTCTGGCATGTTGTCTCTCGAGAACGATATTGAGAAAGTGAATGGAGAGCAGCAATGTGGGAGGTCGCCCCCAGCAGACTGAAGCCTTTAACTCCTTGGCACGACCTTCAACGAGCCTGCGCATAAGACAGCCTCGCAGCAGCGCCGCTGCCGCATGCGTGGAAAAGTCTCCTGCGTGGCGTGGAATCTTTAGACGCGTGCAGTCGTGACGCTACTACAGCACGCGCAGCCGTAAAGAGTATGTGTGTGTGTGAATCGCAGCCACCATAAAAACCCTCAGCAAGTAAGCAGCACCGCCTCGGGAGCTTACTGTAGGTCGGCGAGTCCAAAGAGACTCTGCAGTGCCTCCTTCTTGAATTTCACATCGCGGATGACGAGAGCGCCTCTCCACAAGGAGACTCTTTCAGCGCTGCAGTCCTCCAACAAGCTGCTGCAGTGCTGCAGCAACAGCCTCTGCAGCAAGCCTTCCAGCATCCTTCTCCCCGTTGCTGAGCACGCTGCCAATCGAGGTAGGCAGCAGCCAGCTTCCCGGCAAGCCGTGCATCACACACTGGCTGAGAGCACTCCCTCGCCGGAGCACTTATACCGCCAGCGTCGAGTAAAAATTACGCATGCGCAGCACAGCTAGTGCATCGGAAGTCTCGATGCTTCGGCCCCCTTCAGTGCAACTGGACTTGAGATTTCGCAACCTCTGCTGCATGCACCACCCTTGTTGTGTGGCTGCTGGCGCTCTCAAGCAACGAGCAGGACGGCAAAACGCCTCTGCACACCAGGAAGAGAGCCTGATCTTTGCCTGCGGCTGTCGCTGCTGCTCCCCTGACACTAGAGCTGGAAGCAGAGAAGAGCTCGAGGGAAGCATGTGAAGAAGGCTTCCAAAACGAAGGGCACGCAGAGGCAGCAAGAAGAGGCGCAAAGCGGTAGCTGACAGCCCACAGGCAACAGCAGCAGCGGCGCCGACAGCAGCAGCACGCTGCAAGACTCCTCTGTCACCTCCTCGAGAAACGCATCTGCGCGAGAGGATCTTCTCAAGAAACTTGCACGCGCAACTGCTGCCTGTCCTACAGTGCCGCTATCGCTGGCAGTGGACGGCTGTGAGTCATCGAACGCTGCACCGCCTTCCCCCGAGCGGTCGGCTGCCTCTGACGCTATTGACTCCTGCGAAGCTTGACGCTGCGGCGCAAACGCCTGAGACGGTATGCCAGCTCCACTCCTGCTTTTGACCAAGACGACTCCGCTTGTGTTGCTGCTTCTGCTGTGGTGGTAACACCTTCTTCTGAAAGCCATAGGCTCGGCTGAGGGACGCCTCGCGCTCTGCCTTTGCGCTTGCCTCTTGCGCTGCTGCTGAGACTTCGTCGGCACTGCCCACTGCTGCTGCTTCGCTCGCTGATCTGCCGCGAGCTGCTGCGGGAGCGACAAGGTGGCTTCGCTGCTGGCCTTTCGCCTGCCGCTGAAGTGGTACCAGCTCAAGGATTGGCACTGGACATGGTGTTGCTGCTTTCGTGCTGCTGTTTTATCGAGGGAAGCAGCAAGACTAGGGCGAGACTGGCCATAGGAACTGCAACGGCGCAAATGCGGTCAGAAGGGACGATGAGCTGTCTCAGGAAGGCTAAATGATGTTAAACAAGTTAATTTTTGTGTCTTTCCGAATACTGGATACTGGTGCCCTTACTCCTGCTTGTGCTGATATGCGGTGGTCAGTCTTGTGCCCTGTCGGCAGCATCTCCTAGCATGCGCTGCTGCCGCTGCTGCTGCTGCTGCTACTGCTGCGTCTGATAGAATTTTACCAATCAAATCCCTTTTTACCAGTTGAAAGTAACGCAACTGTGTCGCTGCTGCCACCATTGCTGCTTTATCGCTCTCGTGGCTCTTGCTTCCCAGCTTCTGCGGCTATGATTGAGCTGTTGCTGTGCTTCCAGGTGTGTCCTCTAGTAGTTTTACGGCTCTTCCACCCCAAAACTCCATTTCCTATCTTTCATGGGCATTAATATCCCAAAACTCACTCCGTTACCCGACTCTGCCGCCCCCAATCCAAAGGGCGCGCAGTTGACCACTGCGTGTCTTCGCGTCAAAGCGGCGACTGTTCCTGTTAGGTTTGTGAGGCTCTCTGGGATTCATTACGCTCGTGTACATCCTTTAGGGTACTTCTGAAATGCACACGTAGCTCTCAGGCTTTGTAGAGATCTACGTCCGTAGGGTTCCTGAGCTGAGCCTCTGCGCTGAACTCCTTCGACTACATGCATCCGATGCTTTCGCTGAGAGTTGACCGCTTGATTTGGCTGTTGTTACGCACTATTCGCGCGAGCATAGAGCTATCTTCAAGTTATATGGGTGATCCGTGTGGGGTTGTTCGTCAGCTTGCCGCGTGCAATTGGGTATGTAAGCTCATACCTCTAATCGTGTGCAGCAAGGCTCACGCTCCCCATCCCCTTCCTACGAACCCTCCACCTGATACACACTATTACCTGGCACTGCTGGCTCTATGAAACATAAGAAGACCTTTTAAAACTGGAAGATAGCTTTTATTCACTACAGTCATGGCTTGAACTGCAAGCTTCCTAGACAACCGTGCTCTTGTCTTCCTAAGCTTCATTTGACTGATGCAAATAAAGCTCGTTTAAGGCTTTAGCACAGTGAATTCCAGCACCGACTCATATCAAATGACTGCGATAGGGGATATTCCAAATGAAAAAGGACATTTTTGTTCTGGTTATTAGGATTGATTGCTATCAGCTTTGCAGGCTTATATGGAATAAGACTGTTAAACGTTCTTCAGCACTAGAAATCCAAAATATTAAACATTGCAAGCAGCAATGCTTGGGATCCCGGCAACTTGGGGCTTCGTGGGGAACGACGCACCGTGGGTCGTACATTTGCAAACTTCTGGCTGCCTGTGGCGCTGGCAGACCTGAGCGAGTCGTTTGGCGTGGCGTTTTGAATTGCATGAGCGGCATGTTGCAAGGCATTACTTGGCTGGAATCTCGTCTTCTAGCGTATGGGGACAAGCAGCAGCGATTAGGAAGCTCGGGGAACTCACCAGATTCTAGAAGTAGCCTGCTGTAGGTACTTGAGTGGTTGCGCAACAAGCCCAAGCAGGGAGGTAGAAAGTATGCGGGCGGACTTGCAGCTCGCCAAGCACTAAAGCAAGTCAAAGCCAAAGAATTCCAAAGTGTTAGGTGACAGCTCACGGAAAAGGACGCTGGGAAAGTACGTGGCTGCCCGCGACAACCTTGGAAACTGCATCTATGTAATCCCTTGAGCGTGCCCCACTCCATCTGTTAATGACTTTCCTAGCAAGCACTCTTACGCAGAGTTGAGCACCCTCAGGATCAAAGTTTCTCGACTTTTTTTCCAGCCGGTGCCGCAGCTTTAGGCCATGTAGCTTTCTGCCATGCTACTCTCTCGGTCTGAACATCCACGGCCTCCAACCGCAGCCTGTTCTTGGACTAACACTTCCTGATTAGTTCCAGTGCCCTTCCAAGCCTCTTCGACGCGACGGAGTAGCAAGTATTTCTAAATGGACATCCCAAATCTGATGAACATTTTGCTGAAGGTTTTTTAAATGCTCATGCAGACCCATTTTTTGTGCATATATCAATTTTCTGGTTCAAAAGAATTGCATTAATTGAAAGGCATCATCAAGTTTAATCTGTTACCTCACTTTCACGCTCTCTAGGCTGGCTGGAGGCACCTACAAGTCAGACACCACCAGCAATAACGAGGGTTGCCAATACCACTGTACGGAAAGCAAAGCCTCAAAAGCTGGTCGCCCATCGAAGGCAGACTCTGTGTTCGACACTAAATATACACCAAGTTGGGATTTCGGGTTATGTGCCGCTTCAGCTACACACGCAGATAGCGAAAAGGTAGTAAATCTGCTTACTTACCCATTGTTCATACCTGGCAGTCGTGAAGCTAAATTTCGTTGTCAGGCCGCTGTGTATGGAATAATACACAACCAGAAAAGGGCAGATATGCCTGCTTTTCCCGCAACTGTCATAATAACCACGCCAAATCCGTTAATGTGTATGCTATGGACGGTCCAGCAAAATTCGCTAGGTGCTGAATGCCCTGATACACTATGTGTAGGCGTACAGCGAGCGCCTGTAATTCTCTAAATGTTAACGCTTGGGGCATGCTCTCAACTGCGAGGCGAACTGCTGAAGGAGCGATTGGGGTGTTTCTAAACTACACTGTCCTGTAAGGGAAGTTTGGCTCCAGAAAATGATCGCCAGCTGTAACTGCTTAGTGAGCTTATTGGTATTGAGGGCTAGTGTGTGCCAAAGGTTTGTTTTGGTGCCCCTGGAGTGCAAGGCAAGGTCCGTTCTTTAGGCTACTTGTTGGATCGACCGCAGTCGCTGAGGGCCTTTGTTATAGTCCTCCTTCTAAGGTCGTCGTAACGCTCTCTTGGCATCCCCTGCCCACTCCACTCAGTATTCTAAATAAAGGGGGAGAGGGACGGCTATGCTGCGCGTAGACGTACCTTCTTTGCACTCCGCCAATTACACATAGCACCTAGCGCAATGGGACACAAAATCGCGTCGTATTGTATTGAACTAACGCTGCTCTGCAATAGATGAGATGTACAGACAGATTTGCCAATCAGTCAATCATTCACTAACTACTAGTTGAGTGTAACTGGCTTAGCACAAAGTATTTAGGAGGAGCTGCACCCGCAACATTTAGCACCTGCAGCTGTAAAAATAGCATGTAAAGGCGAGACTGTACTGTCAGCTCACTAAAACATACCTCTGCACGCAGTCTGAAGCCTTGATAACGCATTGTGCTTGCAGAGGTTCTTTCCCCCCTTCCTCCCCCAAAGCCTAATGCACCCTTCTTTGCAAGCACTGCATCTTGGAATTCCTTCTATCCATGACTTCTCATGGTTCAAATCCATTTCATCTTTCTACGTAGCTAGAACCACAGGTTACAATTTTACCAATTTTGCTGACAACATGGTGAATAGATGAAAAATATAATTTGGTCCGGGCCAGACGCCTGCTTCAAGATAAAGCTCTTAGCGTAATAAACAATTCACCATACATACACCCACACTAATAGTTTCTGTAGCACAGTCTTTTCTTCGCCAGCAACATGGCCTTCCTAATGTGGTGCCACCCCTCCTTACCCCCCATCCACCGCCTTTACCTATGACAAAGGGCGCTCTTGGTTTTCACGCATCTGATAACGTTTTGGAGGCTGCATCATTCAGCATGCCAAAGCATCGTAGACGAAAAGAGCGCTTTCAGCCTTCGAGCTGGCTTGGCCCACAGCCCGGTGGAACGCAACAGCAAGAGGGTGGTAATGAGAAACTGAATATACTGTACCCTGGCACCTGATACTCAGCTAAAAGTCTGGTAAAGTCGAATACCCACGCAAGGTCACCATTTATCGGCTGCATTTGTCATTCACCTCATAAATTTTCTTGGCGTACAACTAAATTTCAGAAGAGAATTGGGCAAGGGTGGTCTTACATTACAAGTGTTTGTGTAGGGACATTATTCTCCCTAAAGCAGCAGAAAATCCTGCAGAATGTTTAAATTATCTATAACTTTTCGATGCATGATTTCTATTCAGTTTTGTAGTTCTTAGTGGCCACACGGCTGAGTGAACAATCATAACGGCGACTAGTGCCTCACGGCGTGTCCCCATGAGGTGTTGGTGAGTTCATAACACGTAGTTTATGCGCAAAATACTCAGAGAGACGCGTTTCATGTGCGAGCTATTCCTATCGAATTTGCGATTACCACAGAATCTTCGTAGTGATTTTTTAATCGCTTTTTGGTGCACAGTTTTTGCTCGGCTGGTCGGAAAATATCGAGTGTTGTAGGAGAGCGAAAGTAACCTCACGACTGGGGATTCACCGGCGACTTTGGGCCCTTTTATTCATTCGAGTTCAATAGAAGATCTAAGCTATTTGTAACTTGGTTGCTACCTCGAATGGCAAGACACTTTCAACTTAGGATGGCATGTTCGTCCGAAAAGCTGACGCAACTTCGCTTTTATGTCCTGTCTCACAATATCAGCTCCTGCTCCCATGAATGTTTGAGGAAATTGAGAAACACACTTTCTGAGCTTTTATCGTCCTGCGGTGCGGACCCACACCCATAACGCCACTAACAAAGGCACGTTTGCTTGGTTCTCTATTAGAGTCGCTGGCCCCAAGTCTAGAAGAAATACCTTGTTTGCACGAAGCTGCCCATCGATTTTTCCAAGAAATACAGGTTTGTCCCTTTCTCTTATATCATGCAGAGTCTTAGCTTAAGAGAGTGGAGACAATGGGCAAGTACGAACTTGCACTTTGATGGGTTTTCCCACAGTCGCACATTCGACTTCGGGCAGACACACAGTTACCCTTTCCCCTTTAAAAAAGCGGCGGGCACATGGGGGCAGGCAAGCTCATGCACAAATACCGTAGAAACGAAGTTAGCCTCGGATAATCAACGCCCCTACCCTCATGTGTAAAGCGCATGTCAGGCCACGGGGTTAACTCGAATATCCCATCTCTCCAAGAGTTGGTTGATGATTGTCTGATTAATGCTTGCATTATAGCTGTGAAGCGATTCGCTACCAGTGCGTCAGTAACCCACTTTTTTTTTCTGATACGCCATAAAAGTTTTAGACGCTCAATCTTACAAGACTATGTCAAAGATCGAAGCCATATAGGTGAGGCCAATTATTTGAAGGGGTACCGATGGAGTGTTTTTGGAAAGCAGCTTGAGACTGTAAGATCTCCAAAACGGCTTACATGCAGGTAGACCGCACGCAAGTATAGCCGGGGCCAAGTCAGGCGAAGGTGATTCTCAAGAGTTGTAAATACACAGACACGACAAACAAGGCACAAACTCTTCCGAAATGTATGCGTGCACAGGGAACAGAAGCGGACGAGGAAAAAGGTGACAGAAGGACGGATGTGGGGTCGCAACTGTAGGCGGCAGGTGTCTAAAAGACGGGCCGAATTAAGGGTTCTTGCTGGCCTTGATGCCTTATTCATATCTCTACGTCCCTCTGTATTTTCACTCTTCGGTATCTTCCCAACAGCGCTGTAAGTCTGTGGTCTGCCCGCATGACTGTCTGGTAGCTAGTCCTACCTCTTTTCCATCCTCTTTCTGTTGGCTTTGTGTAGCACGTTTAACTGCTGATCCCGCATATATCAGCTATCTGATGCACTGTGATGGATAGCGGTGCTGAAGGTTCCTGGGGGCAGTAGAGCCTCAATGCCTGTATTCTCCTTCAGAGGATACCCCTCCTTCCTCATTTCGGACAAGTGCAGTACCACCGGTTTCTGCTGCTTTTGGTAGTGTTGCTGTGGTGGGTGCAATGCTGCCTTTCCGCTGTAGTGTAGAGAGAAGTACAGTAATCTGAGCAGCCGTTTGCTGCTGCAGATGCCTCTCCTTAGAGTCTGTTGTCTCTTTTACCAGTACACCCAGGTGTGTCAGCTGTTGCTGCAGATGCACTTGCAGCAAAGGCCTCAGTAGCTGCCTCAAAGATGGGTGCATTGCCAGTATCGTGGCTAGTTGAAGGGCCTGTTTACATGAGAATTCAAGCATGTCCCCCATAGAGGCTAACATTCAAAGAATTGAGCGTGGTGTCTGTGGCAAAAGGTCTCTCTAGGGCTTACCATGTTGAGGTTGGCAGGTTCCTGTTCAAGTAGGCATGCGGCTGCGACGAGGTGTGCCAGGGACTGCGGGATATCCTCATCTCCCTGATGAAGCTGCTCTTTTGCTTCAGTCGGCATGCAGCAGCAGCACAGACAACTAAGGGCCAGGAGTCTCTCTGTGGCGTACGCGCATGGCGGGGGTGGGGGAGGTCCCTTTCGTGGGCCGAACAGGATGGCTTTATACTCAGCCTGCATACACAATTCACAAGCCATCAGCGAACGCCTTGTTCGCTACCAAGATAGGCTTAGGAGGCAGGCCACTTTTGCAGCTGAATTTGCTGCACCATCCGCGGTGTAGCTTTATCAGATAAAAGCCCAGAACCTACTTCGCCTAGATTGCCATGTGGGGTGAACAGCTGGACAGCAAATGCATTGGACGGTACCATGTTCACTGATAGCTAGGGTGTACATTTGGGAGCTTAATTATTTCCAGAAATGTGTGCGAATCGTTCCAGTTCTAAAGCTTCCAGGCCCAACCATTGGCACGCGTCCCTACTGAGCACGAGCCTCCGCTGTTTTGCGGAGCTTCGTGGCCTTCTAGCAGCCAGCTTACCACATACGATGGCACTATACTAGCATTGCACTGCTCTGTGTAAAATTCTCGAATACAGTCCTGTTTTCTTACAGTAAGCGCTTGAACAGCTTCTGAGGCCTTCTTGCAGTGCATCAACAGCTGCTGCTTCCCTGTATCCCACGGAGTGGGGAGTGTCAAGGGGTGCAGCGACACGGCAAGCCACTGCCCACCTGTCTTTGGGGAAGTCATTCTGCTACAGCTACTGCTGCTGCTGGCATTCGCAGCACCACATAACAGCAAAGACAGCAGAGCCTCTAGCCGCGAGAGTAATCCCGCGGACAGCAGCACATGCTTCTGGTTCTGCACCTTTAGGCCCCCCACAAGGGCTATGACGCGCAGCAGCTGAGTAATATAAGCCTTCCTTGAGGCGACATGATTTTCTGTAGCTGGTGCGTGTGCTGCTGCTGGACTAAGATTGGCGTTTTTAGTATCTGCTACGACGCATCCAGCTGCCGCTCGCACAGCGGAAGCTGCAGGAAGGCTCCGGGGGGTACTTTGGTGCGTGCCCGCAACAACGAGGTGCTGCTGCTGATCATGATGCAGCGGTCGCTCTAACGAAGGCTGAAACGAAACAGCTCCTGCCATATTCGTTGCTCTCCCTTCTGCTTTCTTGGTTACTGCACCTGCACCGGTGGACTGGTCCGATGTAGCACACATACCAGCGGCAGCAGCAGTCACCTTGATAGCAGCACTTGCTGGTAGTGGGCCGTGCATTTCTGGCACAGCTTGTGGGCTACCCTGAGCTTTGTTCCGTTGGCTGTTGTTGCAAATGCTGCTGGTTCGTGCCGCCCCTGCAGCACCATCGCATATTGGGGAGTCATTAGCAAAGCTCCAGTCAAAGAGCTGCTGCAATGCGGGGGCTTTGATGTCAGCCACCACGTCTAAAGCTGTGGGACACACCGCGGAAAATGCGTGGAGGAGCTGCAGAAGCGCTGCTCGTTCTTTCCTATTTTCTGGACAAGGAGTGCTGCTGCATTCTGCTGCACATGGTGCTGGGGTGTGCGCTGTTGTGTCTCCTGCTGTCTCGGTTGCTCGTGGACTGGCTACTCTGTCGTTGTCTACCGAAATTGTGCTAGCTGTAGGATTCGGTTCATGGTCAAGACAAGGGTCTGCTGGTTGTGGGGCTGCTGCTGCTGCCGTTGCAACAGCTGTATCAGACGAATTTAGTGTGACGGTTACTGCTACTGGTACTGCCGGCGTTTCAACGTGCTCGGGGTCAGAGACGGAAACAAGTTTATCCATGCGCTGTTGCCGCAACTGTTGCAGCTGTTGTAGCTGTTTTTGCTGTATCAACAGCTGCCGCTGCTGCATCAGCGGCAAATCATCAGCAGGTAACCATCTGCGTGTTTGTGCGTGCCATCTTCTGGGGTGCTGCTGCGGCTCTACGACTTCATAAAACGCCCAGCAGCAGGGAGATCCGTGCATGTAAGGAATGCGATTGCTCTGATGCTTGTGATGTTCCTTCTGATGGGCTGCTGCAGCTGCTGTTGTCAAGAATGGAAGTGCGGTGGCCTCCCTGACAAAGCCGTACGCACCATCAATGAAACCGCTACTATGCTCGATACTGCTCTTCACGCTGCCGCCAAAGATCCCAGAAGGAAAAGCAACCCAGCCGTAACCCCCGTCTGCCAACATACAGCTTTCCATTGAAATTTTGTTGCTGCTGTTGCTGTTGTTGTCACACAGGGCACAGGGGGCACAGCTGGGGTAGCTGCTGCCTTCACAGTCCGTCAGGCGTACATACCCGAAAAACCCGTCAATAAGCAAAGAGTCTGGGGTGTATGCACTAAGGTTGCTGCTATCTTCAGCCTCTACTTCCTTTGGATAGATGCTGCAAAATCCAAACTGTCCTTCCACCATTATAGTTTCTGATCTCTGCACGAGCTGCTGCAAGAGTCGGGCCTCGAGTTGGCACTCGCTGGTGCATTTTGCCGCTTCTCTCACAAAACCGTAGGAGCCATCAAAGCACCCCGGAGGGTAATTAGTCGAATTACACTGTTCCTGAAGCTCGTTATACATGTGCCCCTCTTGCGGCTGCTGTTGCTCCTGTTGCTGCTGGTTATTTTGACCTGTTTGCTGCACACTGAAGACCTCTGATTGGTCCCTTGTTAACTCGGACTGGCTTTGATGCCGTTGTAGCTGCTCTGGTTGTTGCTGTGGTTGTTGCAGCTGTTGGATTTCTCTCAGAGCTTGCTTTTGTGCTAGTTGCGCCAGCAATTGCTGCTGTGGATGTTGCTCCTGCAGTTTCAGCCGTTGCTCTATCCACCGCTCGTGGAGCTCTTCAACAAGAAGCGACACATACGTCTCGCTCACGGATTCGGGAGGTAGCAGCCGCTGAAGCACTCCCTGCAGCAGCCCATTCACTGTAAGATATTCTGCGCCTGCGGCAGCACGATATATTCAGAGTCGCAATCCCTTTGCTGCTATTATTTTGTCACCTCGCTTGCTGTCGTGCTCTCTGATGTTCCAGGTACTTGACTCTGCAGTCTGCTTCTGCTCTCCAGTGGCTGTTGCCATTATTGGCACTGCACCCCGTCCAACAGTATCAGCTGCTCCTACTAAAGGTTGTGCTGTTAGACTTAGTGTACGGCATATTCACCTTCCCTTCTTGCTGCAAGGTTCAGCGCAAACTGAAGAAAGGACAGCCTGGTTTCAAGGTCCGTGTCGTGCAGCAGCTGCAGCAACGGCAGCAGAAGCTCTTTTTGCGGCTGCTGCAGCAGTTCTTGCTGTTGCTGCTTAATTTGAAGCAGCTGCAGCTTCAGCTGCTGGTGCCGCTCTTTTGAAGCCCCTGGTTGGCTTAAATACAAACAAATTGTCTGCTGCTCTTGCAATAGTAACAGCAGTTGCTGCTGCTGATGCTCAGCGGGAGGTAGCAGGAGCAGTCGCCTTGGACCTTCATGTGCAGAAAATCTGCGACCGCAGCACCAGTGCGATCACCGCGCGCTTGAGACGTGGGTCGTTGCGGGAGGCAACGGAAAGCACAAAACTCGGCTGAAAGGCGGGCGGTGCAAAGACACACATGAGCAAACATCGAGACAAACAAAGAGCTGGAGGCTATTTGCCAGAAAGGAAGTCAGAGCACCAGATAAAAGGACAAATCCCAGCAGAAGGAGCGAATACAGGCATGTGCACAGGGGAAAGAGAACGAGAGAGGCGCATATACATGCAGGCAGATGGCCGGGCAGGAAAGGAAATTGGGTTACGACAAAAGAGCAGCAGCACTGGGCAAGCTAAGAGTCAGGTGAACAGTCCGGAAGCCAACAAGACGGACAAACCTAGTCAGTGCCTTGATGGAATGGCGACGCAGGGGCTGTTGCGCTCTGACGGCGAAGTCGATCAGTAGAGGAATCGCCCCTGAGGGGTATCAGGCGCCGGTTCGGAAGCTCCCTGCTCCCCATATGTCGTACGTCCCTGTCTGCCTATTGTGCGATGCTCCATGTGTATCGGGCTGCTCGTATATGATGCATACAAGTATTTGATTGTGGCCTTTCCCAGGCCTCGCTGTATCTCTGCGCATTGCTCTCTGTCTCAATTTCCTTCTCTTTTTGCTGCCACTGTTTTGAGGCCTCTCCTATGTTTGAATCGCTACACGCTGTTACTCTACGTGTCCCTAGCTGCACAATTTCTTAACGCGCACTCTATAATAGAGGGGCTTCGTTATTCGGGATGCTTCTTCCCGTTGATGCAAGCAGAGCAGAATTTACAGCCCTGTATAACGGGGAATCTCAAGCCTGGAGTGTAGGGTTTGCTCTTACCTGCTTTGTATGCAGCAGCGCATTGTTCAGGGTCCCTAAAAAGCGTCTCGAGAGAGGACACAGCCTTGGTCTTGACACAGTTGTTGTTGATCCTCAGCTGCTCTACCAGGGCAGCGGTCCCCCTATAACCCCTCTGCACGACTGTGGAGGGCGGAGGCGTGGGGTTCCTCATCACAGTTCCAAGCCTTGGCAATGTAGAATTCAACATTTTCTGGGGATCAAGGCCAAGTATTTCTGGTGCAGAATCGCAGGGCAGCGGATTTTTGCTGTTTACTGATGGTGGGATCGGCCGGAATGGATGGCCCAGAGCGCTGCTTTGCTTCAACAGCCAAGTGAATTGAAACTGTGATTTTGTTAGAGTTTCTTTATCCTAGATGCATCAAATAGTATAGAACGACAATTTCATGTGGGCTTACTAGTTTAAAACCCAAAGGCGGTGAATCCGTAGTCTCCCACAGGGTGCGAGGTCACTTCACAGCCTACTCGAAGGGAGCGCCTTGTACTTTAAACCCAACGTCAATTACCCATATGCTTTACACCACGGACTCTTATTGAATCCTCACTCGCGCTTTGGGGCTTTTGCGGCCACTTCGTTCCGAAAACTTCGTCTCTGCACTCGAGACCCCAGTCAACGTGGAGCCTCGGTGGCGCTTCCAGTACGTCCTTCGAAGTCAAACGCTGGTTTTATGACGAAGCCCAGTAGAGGTACTTCTTTATTGCTACAAAACACCTGTGAGAATTGTTCGCATGTCCTTGAGCCAACTCTCTGGGACCCTCCAGGTACGGTGTCGTCCAGGTGCTCGTGGATCGGATGCTGCCTAGAGTTTCTACAGAAGACTTCAGAAGGGATTCAGCCAACGCGTCATTGTTTCACTGGTGTAATTATCATCATATTTTCTGCTGGAGCAGCCAAAATTTCAAGCGAGGGCTCACCGAAATCACAGCTTGAAGCGGGCAGTGCAAAAGGCTTCAGTGCAGCTTGGTCCACAACATAGACCACCTTTACCAAGGCAAAACCCCTCAGCGTTTTTGAGCTAGAGTCACACAGTGTTTTGTTCTAAGTGAAGCCCACAAAGCGGCTTAAAAAGGGCCCCATACGCTCCTCTCTCCTTATCGTGTGGATCTACTTGGTTTTCGCTGGAATGCATACATCGAAGAAAGTTTCCTCCAGAAACAGCTTCTGGGACACTTACGGATCAAAATATCTCGGCCCAGGTCACCCTTCAGAATCCACTACCAAAACATTTTGGAGGGTACTCTCATGGCTTTCGTGAATTGCGCTCCTTTCGGCAGACATATAGAGAGCAGCAGAGTGTGGGCGCCCTACACGCCGCTGCATCCAGCGTCCTACAAGAGCATTTCGGCCTAAGCACAGCGTTGAGAACTACATACTCTTATACACACACACGCCCACGAAAGTGGCAGCCCCTCAAAAGATCCGTACTGCCGGCACTGTACACGAAGAATTTCTTCGCCAGAATTCAGTCACTTGAATTCACATGCGGGAAACCGGCTACTTGACGAGCATCTTGGGGAGCTAAAAGCCTTTCCCGATTGCTTGGGTAAGCCCTTTTACCGCCTGCAAAGTAGTGGAGTAAGAATTCCTACTCCAACTCGTGGATCTCCTGAAGCTGCCCCTGTGTGGAGGACAGCTTTTCACCCACGTATGCTCTTTACTCATTAAGGAGCCCTTGCAAATTCCCTCCTCCAGGTGCGGAGCCCATACATGTAATGCCTCCCCTACATAGGACTCTTCAGTATTCTTATGGCTGAACTCACCCGAAGTGCTAAAGTTTTGGAGTCCACTGGCTGCAGTATGATGCCGTCTTTCTTCAACTTCGCTTTTCGCTCATACTGTTCTTCGTGGCAAAATACTCATTACGGCTTATGATGGAAGTGACCGCAAGTCCGTTATTGCTAGCAAGTCCGCATTAAATTGGGGCACTAGTAATTCAGAAAAATGGGAGCCAGTTCATGGATAAATTAGTTCTTTTTCCGCATGCGGAAAGCCTGATTAAAGGCTTCCTGGAGGTCACAAAGTGGAGAGTCACCCACATCTAAGGCAGCTGATGGGTGACTCATAGAGCTCAACATCAGCAGATCTATTCCTTCATATGTCTCCCTAACCTATGATTGATGAGTGTTCCGATTTTTTTGCCATCCTGACGAGCACAGGATAGCATCAGGCGTGTAGGGATATCCATTTGCTTCCTCACATGTACAAAGAAGACTTCCGTATAGCGCTATGTTGCTTTTAGAACAACGGCGGAGACGCCCTAAAGGCAGGTGCACAGAGAAAGACATCGAGAGTATTTTGCAAGCGGAACAGGAAACTACTGTGAAGCGTCCATACGGAGCCTTCCACCTTCCGTTGGACAGTACCTTATAAATGTCTAGAGAATGGAGCAGAAAACTGCAATTCTGCACGGCAGTACACAGGGTGGAACAGGCACGACAAGTTCTCAAGAGATGTGTTGCGTATAAATCCTGTGCCGTCGTTTGGCGAAAGACACGCATGACCCTGCGCCCCTGAGATTGTTGCTTCCTTGAGCTCATTTTTCTTTTGTTCTGTGCCTTTTGCTCAGTAGCCATAAGGCTACTAGTGCCTGCGACTTGAGGGCCTTAGGCACCATGTACCCAGTAGAGCCCACCTGTGGCCATGCCTCCCCTGCAGCAGTCTAACACTCCTTGAGGGGGGGCGAGGGCTCCGAAGTTCCCAAGCTGCCCACATCCGTGCCTGTTTCCTGCCTTAGAGCGTGAACAGGCAGTGTGGGTGTTGCCACCCACGAGTCAAATGAGAAGCGCGCAGAGGCCTACTCGTAGTGTTCTGTGGAAAATACAGGGGAAGCGCCTGTTCCTCCTGCTGTGCTTGCTATTATCTTCAGCGCTTCACTGCTTGGTGCTTGCGATGACGCTGATGCCCTTCCTCCACAACTACTGTGATACTTCTATCGGTGCAGAATGCCCCTGATGAGCGCATTTCTTTCGTAGGGTGTTGCAAAGGCTGTTGTTTGTCCGTTTTACTAACTTTCCTTCTAATGAGCCAGGACAAGGAAACACCTTAGAATCCGGCTGCTACGCTTCTTCGTGCTCTGCTCCACGCAAACTCCCCCTTAAGAACGCTTTCTGATGCGCAGTATCGCTCGACTTCAAAGCATACCAGATGGGGACAAATCAGGTTTCCACCGACCAGGTATACTTTTATCTTGAAAGATGAAAGGAATCTAGGACTCGAATAAGCTATCAATGTGGTGGAGGCATAAATCTGGCTATAGTTGTCGCGGCACCCTGCCACAGACCCTGCTGTTCAGCAGGGGCTCATCAGTACCTAGCATTCGACAGGAAACGCCGCATTCGCTATGGTAGGAAAACAAATCAGAGCAAGCACGAGCAAACAGTGGGCATGAAATAGAGATGCATGGACAGCATGCACCAACGCAGGAAACCAAATCTGGGCAGACAGAAGCAAACGAGGGGCATGCAGAAGAGATGCACAACAGCATGTAGCAAATGGGCATGATCGCGGGCGGCAGCGACTTCAGCCAATTTCACTTGGCTTTTAGTGTAATCATGATGAATATTTTCAAGAACTTCACCTGGTTTTGTTTCCACTTTTCGCACTAAAACGGCACTTCGATCAATTTTGCTGACTTGCGCTCTAGTTTTAAGTGTAGCATCTTGCTGTAATTTGCAAAGAATCCCAAACACCGTTTGAGGGGCGTTCCTCTGTGTAAGCCTGTTTGCCTGCTACGAATCTCTCACTTGACTTTATGGCGCCTTTGGCTGCGTCTTCCTCTTCACTCTCTAGTAGAAATACTACAATGCTCATTTTAAGGGCTATGCCTATATGCTTACTCCTTCATTCCTAGACACAGCTTTGCAAATATTGCATGGGCAGCGAGAGCGATCTCGCAGGAGACCCCATGCCTCTCGATAAGCTGCATAATATCAAATGAACGAATCAAGGCTCACGCTGCCTTTGACAAATGTTGTTTCCTTTTAAAGATGCACGAATATCAGCTACTTTACTTGTGCGGTATCGCCTGCTCGCGATGAGGGGGACCCCAAACCGAAACCGTGTCACGCATTAACGATAGCACTTGCTTCGTTAACCAGATTTATCGCCTTCCTTGCCCTCAATCGAAATACTATCCTAGCTCAGCGGCAGGAGGGGCTGCCGGAGGCCTACTCAGCCACCGAAGTGACCTTCTCCAGGATCACAGCTGGGCACAACTCCAGTCAGTCAGAAACACAGGTGCCGCAGTCTCGAAGCGCTTTGGCCAATCGTGCAGTGTCGCATGCAATCATGTACTTCACAGGCAGGCAGCCTATATTCTCCTGCTGTAGAGTTTTCCCCGCTCCTTTGCACACAGACTACAGGAGCCACAAAGCCATGCCACCTACTGCCAAATATATTGTACGGACAAGTCTAAGAGGAACTGTCGAAGTGTGGCTCAGCCGGCTTGAAGCCGTGTGCATTCGTCTCCCCAGCCATCTTTATGGGCTCCCCCCACCCCCCCCGCCTGCTTTGGAGCATCGAGGCATGGTCCCTCCACAGCTTTCTGCGATGGTGTAAGGCGCCTCCAGCAGGCTGTCCTGATCTGGGCGTCTAGTACGCACGCCACTGGCTGCTCCCGGTGCAGCAACTACTGTTTGAAACCCTCCTGACAGCTGGCGTTAAAGTGTGAACCCCATTCCCCAGGCAGAAACTGCAGTCAAAAACAAGCACTTTAAATCAAAAAATATGACGTCACTGGTGTTCTGTGTTTGCAGAAAAAAACAGCAAACCCAAATCATCAGGGAGAGGTGGACCTGAGGCAGAGACTACACGAGTCTTCTTTCAAGTGAAAAATCGCCATACACGGGGCCCACCGCTTTAAAACCTATCGAACAGAATAAGTAAAGGCGTATAGAGACTACCCGTCGCTTTAAAGCGACACGCAAGTCGGGGAGTATCCCCCAGAACTTCCCACAGGGTTCCTTGGAACCTCTTTAGATGGCCGGCATGAAGCCCACAAAATTCATTTGGGCGTTGGTCGTCTGCAAACTAAAGCTGTCATGTTGACGTACACCAGTGGGGCTGTAAGGAGGCCCTTTCCTAGGATGCCTCGCTCCAGCACATGCTAAATTCATTTTGGACGTAGAAAAACTCGACAGCTTTTACGATGCGGGGTGCACGCACTGCTGCTATTTCTGCTAGTGCTAAATGGGTTGCCCCTGGAACTCCTCCCTCAATGGTGCTGCAATTGCTGCGTCTACTGCCACCGCTGCTCGTGCACTGTCTGTGAGGCTGCAATAATCTCGGAGATTTGCTGGAAAGGAACTTGGAACAAGGATATAAAAGGCTCCGGGCCGGCAGAAGCACCCGGAGGAGAATCTGTATCTCCACCCCAAGGAAAACTCGGAATATGACGGGTGGAAAAGTAGAGCGCGCGACCAGGTATGGCAGTGTCCTTGGTTTTAATCGCAGCATCGGTAATAAAGAGCTGAAGATCCCTGGGGTTTCGTAATTTACAGTTCTCGCCATCTTCTGCCTGCTTGGTGAGATCGACGAACAGGACAGGTGCTGGTGCCTCGCCATTTCCCAGATTCCAACCAATCTGAAGCACGGAATGAGAGGCCCACAAAGTGTAGAAGGAGGCAGCAACAACCCGAAAGAGGCATTTTCCAACTGTCCGCACCGTTCCTGGAATGTCTACTGGCGTCGGCAGCTCTTCAACGACCTTCGGCACCTTGCACATAGGACCAGACCAAAGAGCGAACCTCGCATAGACAGGGGGAGCACATCGCACGAAAATCGTGTCGATGTCTCCTTGTTGATTCGCCGCTACCGCGTAAGCAGGATTCTCGTGCAGCTTCACGAGTCGGCGGCAATCACAGTCAACAGGCATGACCCTCTCTACAGTTATTGGCAGCAGCGCCTCTCCAAAAAATTTCTGAAACAAGCCTGGAACCTTGGAATCATCCCATCCGCTGGGATGCATGGTGAACCGCAGCCTTCCAGACTGGCTCGAGCATGTCACCGAGATGGAGCCTGAGCTTAGAGCGCTCGCAGCTCCATCAGTCAAGTCTAGAACCTTAAACGTCAGCACCTTGGGGTACAGCGGGGTAACCAAGGTGAAGGGGAGTTTCAATGGCCGCAAGGAGGAAGAAATATCAATGTACGTCTGTTCGATCGCCGATGCTTCGTTAACCACCGAACTTGCACCTAGCTGCTCGCTGCTCTCTAGTCCACCAACCTGCGCAGACATAGAATGAGACACACCAGCGCCAAGACGGCTTCTTCGCATTTACTCTGCGCTGCGGTTGGTGCGCACCTGCTACCTCAGGGGAGAGGCTTGGATTCTTTGCGCTTACAACTCGAGGTCTTTCATCTTTGGATAAAGATGCACTAGACGACGCAGTACTGCTGTCCGAATCGCTGCTTTCTTCGGAGCTTTCTTCTGTACTATAGACGCCGACAGCTTCGTCAAGCTCGATACCCCTTGTGTTCAGGCTGCCATCGTCCGAATTCATGTCTTCGTCATCTGGTGCACCCCCTGTTCCGTATTTCTCCAAATCCAGCACCGTTTGCGGAATGAATTCCGATCGAGCTGGAACCTGTGCAGAGGTGGCTGGCTGTGGAAGCGCTGACACCTCGGCCGTTTTCGGTGTATCCTCAGGTTCTCGCTCTTCGTCAGCCACCGACGCCATCCCCAATACCCTCTTTACGGGGTCAGAATCTTCTGACGCTTCATCTAAGAGGCCAACCTGCATAGGCGAGCGCGTATTCACTGCTTCGTCTTCCTCACCTTTCAAGCCTGTTCCTGCAGCCGATGTCACTTTCTCTTCTGCAACATGGGTGCCAGGTGGGAGCTGCGGCTCAGAATCCCCTGCCGCTTCCCCCAAGCGGTTTGAAGTCAGCATATTCGCGGCCGTTTTCGTCTTGTCCTCAGTCGGGACAGACTCTGGCGCCGATGCGGGTGTCTCCTGCTCACTGCGGGAGTCACCGATTTTAAGCAGTTCCTCATAAAGTGCCGGATCCTCTGAGGCGTTTGATGCAGCATATTGCAGAACCCAAAGAGTTAAAGGCACGTAGGTTAAAGCTCTTAAAAGCCTCGATCGTCGCATCTCTACGCACAGTGACACTCGGAGAGAAGGGAGAGGCAGGAGACTGCAGAAGAGGGGGATACTCCAACTAGGCTCCCACGAGGTTGGGATGCACACAAAATGTACTCAGTTTATGAAACGGGCAAAGCTTTCCGTTTCAAGAATTTGCAGTCTGCCAAGGAGGGGGATGGCAACAGGAGGGGGGGACCGCAAGCGATCGAATGAAACGCCGGGGAGCGGCTGCTCTAGAGAGTCCATAAGAGACAACCACCGGGGGATGACTTGCATTGAGGAGAGCAATCGCTGCAAATATTCTAATGCCGCAGCACTAAAACCATGCGGTAAGAGGATATCTGGCAAACAAAGTGGATAACATGAAGAATAATTCCATTTGCACACACACCCCAATTCGAAGGGAACCCCACCCTCCACAAGCAGCCTGTACAGGCCGTCAAACTTGACACATACCTAAATGGCATCATGAACCCCTGGAAGTGAAGGAAAGTTCCCGTTACACAACTTGTGGCTTCCATCGACTTTAGCGAGTGTAAGTGCTCTCTTAACTTATTTCCTGCTTTATCTCCAGACATTCGCGCACGAACCATGTACGCTGCGATCGCGACAGCCTAGACACGGGAGCCTACGGGTGTGGGGCCAGGCTTTCTGTTCCTTTGCCCCACCTACCTTATCAATGATTAGGGAGAGGCATTTCTACACCTCTAATATGAGCGTTTCTTCAATCCTCTCCCCGTGTATGCCCCTCTAGCCTGATCTACTGCCCAGCTTCACCCCACTTGCAGGCTCCCAGCTCCATGCGTGTTCCTCGCTTTTCGGCCTCAGCAGCTCCGCTGTTGGTCGTTTGCACCTTGCTTCCGTTTAAAATCTTCTCGCGCGCGCGTTAGACTCTACAGAGGCACTCAATGGAGGTCGATGGCGCGGAAGCCTCGAACAGAGAGGGCCCCTCACCAGGAGCCTTCTCCAGTCATTCTCTCTCCGTAGGCAAGCCAGCCTCTTTTTTTCTATCTTCTGCGGACGACTGCCTCAATGCGTTCCCTCCCAACTTCAAGCTGGCCGTCAAATTCCTCGAGAAGGGCCTATCAATACACCCCAGCAATGTGGACCTGCTACAGCGCTTGGCGGGAGAATATGCAGAAACAGGCCAGACGCAAGAGGCCAAGCAGCTGCTAAACAAGGCAATCGAGCTAGAGGTATAGTCTGGTGGCTTCCGAGCAGGGATTTGCTACATATTGTGGGCACACAGCGCAGACTTTGAGTTTAAGCATCGAGCTGTAGTGCTCTTGGCGCATAGTTTGCGGCTCAAATATACGGCCCTCATTTTAGGCTATGCCGTCCCGTTCGAGACGCTGCATTCGGCGCATCTACGCCCCCCTCGTGTCTGTCACTTGCCATAGTTCGTTACGTGACGTGTACAGGGTGCGTAAATGTCTGCGTATGTGTTTACATAGCGCGATGCATGTGCAGACACCATGTGCATCCTTGTCTTGCGGAGCGCGCGCACAGCCTCTGACATCCACTGTTGCTTTCACGGTTGCCTGTGCCGATTTTCCCGGTGGCTTCATACCCCTGCGTTGATCCATACCACACGCGTTTCCGCGCGCGCTAGCTTCTGCAGTCCTGCCGAATTGCTTGCGCGTCTGAGTATGCTTGCTACTCTCTCTCTGTATTGGGCTGTCTGTCTGTGGTTGTGCTCTCCTTGACTACAGCCCTCCTCCGGCCCTCTCAAGTTCCTGCAGTTGGCGCAGCTAGAGGATGGTGTCTCGTGTCTTTCGCTGTATCGCAAAGCCATTGAGATGCTCGAAGCCGTGCTCTCCCAGTTGCTCGCCGCTCCTCCCCCGAACAAGCGCAAAATGTGCAAAAGCTCGAAGGCTACAGTGGCTTCGAAAAGGGGGGACCCCACAGGCTCTCTGAAGCACCGGGAGGCGCAAGAAACGAAGACTCGTTTGGTGGGGGCTTACTGCGCTGTAGCAGAGCTGTACTTCACCGATTTGTGCGACGAGGAAGAGGCGGAGAGAGAGGCAGAGAAGGCCATCCAGAGAGCCCTTGAACTAGACCCAAAAAACCCTGAAGCGCTTCTGTGCGATGCACAGTACAAGAAAGTCATAGGTGAGCAGCGGCTGCAGCTGTGCCCTCCTGCGATACAGCGGGCTGGCTTTTTTCCGCAATCTCCTGATGCGCGAGCGCGCGCTCCTGGCGCTGTGTCTGCTCTGAGACTCAGATGACGCCGAAGGAGCTGTCGCTGCGGCGCAGCGAGTGTTTTCATCTCTGAAGGCCACCCACGAACGGCTAAATGCCGCCAGTCTCTTAGTGCCGGCGTCAGGCAACGAAGAGGAAGCACTGGAAGCGGGAGATGAAGTCAGCGTGGAGACTCGCATCAATGCTTCGCGCCTCTTCGTCGACGTGGGGATGCACCAGGAAGCCATTGAAGTCCTTAAGGCCTGCCTCGAAGAGGACGAGGAGGACGTATGCTGCTGCTGCTGCTGCTGCTGCTGCTAATCTTAATGCTTCTGCTGCTCTTGGGGCTGCATGCTGCTACGTGTCTCTTTAAATCCTTTTCCTCGATTGTTTGTCGCGGCTTGGTCGGCGATCCTCGCTGTTAAGCTCCACGCTTATTTGTGTTGCTCTATTTCATTGTAAGTAGGGCCGAAGCCAATCTTTGATCCCCACTGTCGTCTTGCGAAGGGTTGGGGGCTTTTGTGGTGCATGCAGCCTCAGATTTGGCTTGTTTTGTGTTGCGCGCTCTTCAAAGCCGAAGACTTCGGCTCGTGTCTACACTGCCTTGAAGGGCTGCGAGAGGTGAACTCCACACTGCTGACCTGTCACTCGCGCAGGCTGTGCGACAATCGCGCTAGCTGCTCAAGTGTTGCTGCAGCCTGTGCAGTCGAAACGGCCGAGGGCTTGTTTGATCAACTGTAGATCGCGTAGTTGCTGCTGTTGTTGCTGCAGCGGCTGCTCCGGTGTGGCCTTCCCGACGACCATCCAATGGCGCAACATGAGCAGAAGCTAAGGGATTTAGTGCAACAAGGAATCGCAAAACAGCAGCAGCAACACGAGCAGGACGGCCAACAACAAGCGAGCTCCTCTGAAGTTTCCTCCTCGGATGATGACGAAGGGATGGACATGGCATAAAAGCCGTAAAACTACGACTTTGTCTAGCAGCGTATCTTGACTTTTACGCGTCACAAAGCTTATTCGAGCAGCTAGTTGCTGGCGCGTAGTTGTTGCAGCGGCTGTAGCACCAGGTTTGCTGCTCGAGCCCAGGCCAAAATCCGGCTTGCTACTACTGCTGCTGCTGCTGTTCATTTGTGCTGCTGTTGCTTCTCAAGAGCTGGGAGCATTTTATCTGTACCTTGTATGAAGTGTTTTTCGAAAACGCTGCACTGCAGCTCTTGTTGCTAGGTGCCATCGAGTGGGATTTAGATGCTGGTAATTACAGGCGGGTTTATCTAAAATTGGTCTCCAAATTCAATGCATGTGTAGCCTTGTCGAGTCTTTCAACGCCTTAGCTCCAATGACCCATTCTGCACTCCAACAACGCCTTAAGGCCGTAGCCACAATTCGTAGACGAGGCTTGTGCTAACAGGGGCGAAACTTCGACGCGTGGACAGGCGGCATCATTTATTTGGGAATCAATAAATAGATAGGAAGGCGAGAGAGCCGTGATCGCGGGAGCAGCCCAAGAGGTAGCGTTGAGGGAGTTTGCCTTCGGTAAATCCCTGCTGAAACTTCGCCTTCCCTCTAGTCACAGCCGCATTCTTCCTTAATGTCCACTTCTTAGAACGCACTTCTCAGGGCTACACCTGGTTCAAACGTATGCGCGTGCCTGAAAAGCTGTTTCGCTAGTACGCCCCCGGAGGACAGATTGGATAGCAAAAGCTGGTCAAAGGAAACACTTGTGGCGCGTTCGTTCTCTCAAATTCTGCTCCTGCTGAACGCCTTTGGTTCCAGAAGTAAGTTCATAAAAGTTTTTGGCGGCCTTCAAGCGTCGAAGAGCACCTTCGAGCAGCAGGAAGTTCACCGCTGCTCCTGATGTGTGGTCATTGCTGTGTCCACTATTCGCGAATGCTCTAAATTTTGACTCCCGGTAACTGTGCAGTCCGCTGCAATGGAGCCGGCTTCACCTTGCTAAATCTTGGAGGGCAAAACGGCTTTACCCTTGATAATTTTGCAAATTTATGAAAATCCGTTGAGTTCTCTTTCCACAATCTTGCCATAGAAGAGTACCAGGCCCCATGTTTCAGCACCAGTTTTCTTTTTTCGCTTCCAACTGCCTCGAATTATTCAATAAGAGGCGTTTCAGCAATAGGAATATCCGCTCATCGCCTGATCTGAGACGGACTAGAGATCCCTGCGCTGCTCTTCCAGCAGCAGCTTCCAGCACAGCACCAGGCATGCACAGCTATTTTCTGGCATTCCAGCAGCTGCTCCTGACACATTTCATGATCCACCGGACCAGTTCAGCGCTTTAGCTAAATTCCTGCCCTTTATTCCAGCTGTGGGTAGCTGCGCTAACCGTTCAACATACTTGCGAACACATGCTCTTTAAAAAGTTTCTAGTGTAATGCCACAGAGGTAGTCGTCGTATTGGTGATTGAGGGACTTGAGAGAGAAGTTATTAGATAGAGAGTCTCTCCCTGGTGGAACCCCAAGCCTCAGTTGTGTAGTGAGGAAGCATGCAGCTTGTATCAAAGTCTATTTATGACGATCGAACAAACGTCCCATGAATATGCGCTATGTCAGTAGGGCGTGGAGACTGTCGGAAAGTGCATCTACAACGTGGGTAGAAGTGTGATTAGCTGCAGCTGGCCAGCGCTGCCGTGAACCCTGATGTTCAATGGATGAGTCGACTCTTGGGGGTGCCCAGCTGAGAACAGAAAGCTCTGATGCGTTCTTGCGAGAGTATCAAAAGGTAGATCTTCTTTTCTGGCCAAACACGCAAAGCGAAACCAGGCTTTTGTATTAAGTTAGGGTGCACTTACCCATGTTCCACTACACTATTTTTATTCGACTAACATTTAGGAAGGAATTCGACTAGCGGGTATGCCTCTTTGTCTGTCTTGTTTATTGTTGAATACTTTAAGCTTCACCCAGGAAGACGCAAGCTTTTGTGTGCGTGCCTCGGGTGCAATGTACAACCAGGTGTAAATGCTTGGAGTGCTAAGAGGGTGCAGCAGCTACATGCACCCTACCTGTGCCCCTTTCTTCATACTTGGAACCCAGCGGGGCGCGGCAGGGGATACTGGGATTTCTCTCTGGCTTACACTGTAAACGCTTTGTCAACTTGTATCAACTCTGGAGTAAAGCGTCCCCCTCAGGAAAGTTTAGACGTAGCGTTAATACCCTGGAAGAGAACGGCACATTCATTCTCCAGGACGACCCTGGGCCCCCCAGGAAGTGTAGAACCTTTATAATGCAGACTGCGTTCCTCCTTTGGCTCAAAGTCTTCTTTGTTAAGTATTGAAGCAAGCGAAGTGTCACGAGACTTCCTCACCATGGGTTCCCCCGAGGCTTTATGTTGCCCCACGGTGCCCCGTTGCCTCGGTTGCAGGTAATGCTCTCTCTCTTTCTCTCATCATTTAATTTGTGTAGCCACGATATACTTTCGCGGGAAACCATATGTGACGCAGAATTTTAGGTCCATCCCAGAGGTGGCTATTCTGAGGTATGGATCTTTGAAACTCGCCGGCAACTTGAATTTTGCACGCCTCAAACTGCTGCAGCACAATTCTGATTGTATTACTCTTAGGCTCTCTATACTGATTATACATCCTTGGCCGAAAGCTTAAAAGTTGCCGCAAGCAAAGGAGTCGCTCATAGGGGTGCAGGAACCTACAGTTCGGGTTTACTGGCGAAGTATGCGAGAGCAAGTCCTGTATATGGTCGAGTTAGAGCCTCGGCAATTGTACAATTGCATTTCCTTCATTGTGTTCAATGAATAAAGGGGAATGAGCCCAGAAACACTCGCAACTAGTCTCCTGCGAGAACGGCTGGGGGGCCCTGAGATCCGTCCACGGGGGCACGCGGTGGGGCCCCTAAGGCCCCAGCCGCATGAGGCCACATAGGTCTTTTGGTAGCTAAAAAGAGCAACAAAGGAGATCCTCTCTCCTTTTGTTTGCCGATTCTCCGACCACCATAGGGCAACAAGGGCTCATCAGGATCTCGGCAAAAATGCTCAGCTTCGTGGATGAGGAAGAAGCCGAAGAAGCAGCGGCCTCACCGTCGCTGCTTCTTCAGCCTCACATGCAGCAACAGCCGCAGAGACGCCGTCTTCTCCTTGCTCCTGGAAACGGGGATGCCAGCAGCAGCAGCAGCAGCAGCAGCAATGACGCTACAGCAGCGGCTCCCGTGTTTCGGCCATCACGGAGCGCCAAGCAGCAGCAGCAACAGCAGCAACAACCGCAGATTGGTCCTTGCGCGAGGCCTGCCATGACTCACAAGGATTTTCTCAGACTGCGTGCCGTGGAGTTGGCAGCAGCAGAGGCAGACACTGAGGGAGCAGCAGAAGCTACAGCAGCAAAAGCGCCTGGAGGTGCCCCCAAACGCCGGCGTCGCACCGGCTGGAGCGTTGTGGAGGAGGAAGAGGACTCTCAGAAGCTTCCTTCTGGGGGCCCCTCGGGGGGCCCCTCTGGGGGCCCCTCCGGCTCTGGTTGGGGGCCACCCATAGACCCCAGGGTGCGGGAGGAGCGCGTGAAGGCTATTGAGCTGGCTGTCGAGAGGGACAAAAAGAAGATAAGCGGGGGCTTCAAAGGCATGACAGAAGAGGAAAAAGCAGAGACTGCTTTGCAGCGAATGTGGTAGGTGCCAAGTGCGATGCGTGAATTATACACCGACCGATGTTAATTTGTCCTACGGAGAAATGCTGCCTCCAGCACCCCCCCTCCGCCGCTTCGTCCTGACTGGCTGTGTGCTATTCAACCCTTGGGGCATGCTCCTCCGCCCTTTGTGTCTCTCCCTACATTTCCGTTTTTAAATAAGAAGATGCGTTAGTGCTCCTCTCCCTTCCTCCCCTCCTCGCCCGCGAATTTCCCCTCGCAAGTTTGAATCCAACACCTGAGGGGCACACATTGGCCTTTCTTCTTCCCTCTCGCTGCGTCTCGTCTGTCACGCGCCGCGCACTAAGTGCGCACTCTCTGCAAGAGGCAGTCTAATTCCAGTTCGCCTCCCCTGCTTCACGCCGTTCGCTTTTCTCAGGTACGACAGAGATGACTCCTCGGGCTTGCAGCTGGGGGATTACGAAGACGAAGATCCCCGCAATGCCGCGCGCGAAGAAAAGCTGAAACGGCTGAAGGGAGGTGCCCCCAGAGGGGCCCCTAGCCGCTCGCTAGCTGAGCAGCAGAGGCATAGAGATAATGAACTCTGGGAAAATCTCCTCATGCACAGGGGAGGGGCAGGGGGCCCCAAGGAAGTTGCGTTTGACGGCGAAGACGAAGAGGAGACAGAAAAGGAACATGTCGTCTGCAGAAACATTACGCCTCCCTTCCTCAAAGGCTTCAAACCCTCCGAGAAACCCCTCACGGTTGTTAAAGACATCACCAGCGACATGGCCATGCTCGCCCGGTAAGGAGGCAAGTCATGACAACCACGAATTTTGCACTGAACGGCCGTGCCAGTAGCCCACCCTTAGTGGCGTGTGCTTTGCAGCCTTCTTTATTCGTCCTTGTTGTTTGCGCGACTCAGAAAGGGCAGCGCGGTCTTGCGCCACACAAAAGATGCGGAGGATCGCGCAGCTGTTCGCCAACGATTTTGGGAAGTTGCAGGATCGACACTCGGCAGTTTGCTGCAGGGTGCGGAGGGGCGTGAAGCAGCAGCAGCAGCTGCTGCCGCGACATCAGAAGCGGAGGCAGCCGCAGGGGCAAGCCGCTCTAAAGAGGGATACGCGGCTGCTCTGAAGGGCAGTAAGCAAGCTTGTGTGTCAGAGTTTAGTCGTACCAAGACGAAGCAAGAGCAGAGAGAAGCCCTCCCAGTGTTTCAAGTGCGACAGGCCTTCCTCGATGTATGTAGGGAGCACAGGATCGTGGTAGTGGTGGGGGAAACGGGCAGCGGCAAGACGACGCAATTGACGCAATATCTTCTGGAAGATGGATATGCTCGTGCCCCTGCGGAGGCGGCAAAAGCAGCAACCTTGACAGCCTCAGTGCACCCTTCCTCGATCGCAGAAGCGGCAACAGCAGCAGCTTTAGCCGGCGTTTCTTCTGTGGGTATTATTGGCTGCACACAACCGCGGCGTGTCGCCGCGGTGTCTGTTGCGAAGCGTGTGGCCGATGAGATGGGAGTGGAACTGGGAAGCATTGTAGGATATTCCATTCGCTTCGAGGACTGCACTTCGGCGCAGACGGCTATCAAATATATGACCGATGGAGTTCTTCTCAGAGAAAGCCTTAACGATGCTGACCTCGATAAGTACTCCTGCATCATCATGGATGAAGCACACGAAAGGTATGCTTGGCAAGGGGCTGATGCTCTTGTCCCTGCTTCGTTGCACACGTGCTGCTGGTGCTCCTTTCGTTCTGGTCTTGCTTCTACTGCTGCTTTCGCGCTTTTCAGATGAACCACTTTCCATTGCACTTGCTGCTGCGAACGCCGTTTCACCGACTGTCCGTGTTGTTGCACGCTCAAGGAGAACGAGCGAGCCACACCTATATACACACACGGGTTGACCACGTATCACAGGATTAGCAGCATATGTCTGCACGCATTGCTTTCTGGGTGCTGTCTACGTGTCTGAGCTTGGTGCGGTAGCCGCAGCACCAACAAAATTCCCCACGGAGGCGTCGAAACGCACACCCGCCAGCTTTATGAGAACTCCTTCGCGACTCTGTGTGGTGTTTTGCATAGGTCTCTGAATACAGATATTCTGTTTGGGGTTCTCAAAGGGGTAGTGGCTCGCCGGCAGGATTTCCGTTTGATCGTTACCTCGGCTACGATGGATTCGGATCGCTTTTCTGCCTTTTTTGGAGGGGCTGTTGTCTTCAACATCCCTGGAAGGACGTTTCCCGTGGAGGTGGAGTTTGCTCGGTGTCTGCCAGATGATTACGTTGACGCTGCAGTGCAGAAATGCCTGACGATACACTGCAGCACGCCTTGCGGCGGGCGAGATCCAGACGGGAAGGACACTGAGACGTCGGAGGAAACGGGCGATATTCTGGTTTTCATGACTGGTCAGGATGATATTGAGGTGACGTGTCTGCTTCTAGCTTCTCGCTTGGAGCAGTTGGGGAGTCGCGCTCCCCCCCTGACGATTCTTCCCATCTACTCGCAGCTTCCTGCAGACTTGCAGGCCAAGATATTTGAGCCGTCGGCGTTTCGCAAGGTGATCGTCGCAACAAACATTGCCGAGACATCTTTGACGGTAGACGGAGTCCGATACGTAGTCGACTGCGGCTTCTGCAAGCTCAAGGTCTTCAACCCGTCCATAGGGATGGACTCATTGCAAGTAACGCCTATTTCTCAGGCAAATGCGAATCAGAGAAAGGGGAGAGCTGGAAGAACCGGGCCAGGAAAGTGCTTCAGGCTTTATACCGAGACAGCATTCATCAGGGAGATGTTGCCGAACACGGTGCCTGAGGTGCAGCGCACGAACCTCAGCAACGTTGTCTTGCTGCTCAAGAGCATTGGGGTGGATGATCTCCTTGACTTTGACCTTATAGATCCTCCCCCTCAGGATACACTTATTGACGCAATGCACCAACTGTGGGTGCTGGGAGCTCTCGACAACCTCGGTGCCCTCACTCCCATAGGCAGGAAGATGGCCTCCTTCCCCCTAGATCCTCCCCTCTCCAAGATGCTTCTGACGGCTGCCGAGCTAGGGGGAGCGCGAGAGATCGTCTCCATCGTCTCGCTGCTCTCTGTTCCAGCCGTTTTCTTTGTCCCCAAGGAAAAACAAGACGAAGCGGAGAGTCTCAAGGAAAAATTTTTTGTCCCTGAAAGCGACCATCTTACCCTCCTCAACGTGTATCAGCAATGGAAGCGGGCTCAGTACAACGCACAGTGGTGCCTCAAACATTTCGTTCAGCCCAAGGTAATCTGAACTCTTTTTGTCTTGTCTCGTGACTTTTTAGCGCTTTGCACCCCATCTTCTGCGTGCGCGTCGCACTTTCTCTCACTTGTCAGCCACAGCCCTCGCGTAATTTCTTTCTTACCAGTTCCCCCGCTCGTCTCCGCGCTTCTTGTATTTCTGCGTGTCGCGCTGCCTGTAATGTCTCATTCAACGCCACTCCGGTAGCTTATTTCTCCTATCGGCGCCCTGCTGTTCTTTTTACTTGTTGTTCAAAGGCAATGGTGAAAGCTCGCGAAGTTCGCGAGCAGCTCATGGACACAATGCAGCAACAAGGCATCCCAGACACCTCATGTGGCACCGATTGGGATATTCTCCGCAAAGTAAGAAAGACTTGGAATCTAGAAACATGTCGTGTTCTCAGGCAGCTTTCGCTGCTGCTGTCTCTGTCTTCTGGTAGCTGTGCGGCCCATTTCTGTGCTTCGTGTATTCCTGTATGTCATGCTACCCTTGCTAGCGCACCGTCTTTCTGGTAAGATTTCTTTCGTTTACCGGCGCCATCTTAGTGTCTGCACTTTCTTCTTGTCGTTCGAAGGCAATGGCATCTCTTTTTTTTGCCATGCAGCTTCGGCTGTCGCTGTCTCTGTTTTGGGGGGCCTTTCAACGACGTTTCCCGCTCTGGGTTGATCGTAGTTGCTCTACTAAGTTCATTCGCGTGCACAGCTGCTTTTCTCGTATGCTGTGAGGTTTCAGTGCGCATTGTCTCCCGCTTATTGTAGCACACGACCCTATGTAGCGTTACGCATTTTCAACGGCTGTTCTCCTCCGTATCTCCCTCTTCTGCACATATGTGCGTATGTACTTGTATATTTTGTATGCGCATGTATGTATGTACTGTATGTAATGTGTGTATGTATGTGTTTGTTATTTGTGGATCAGGCTATATGTGCAGGATACTTTCATCACGCTGCCAAACTACGGGGCATCGGCGAATACGTGAACCTCAGGACTTCCGTTCCTTGCCACGTGCATCCAACTTCAGCTCTCTACTCCGCTGGTTATACGCCTGACTATGTTGTATACCACGAGTTGCTCCTGACAACGAAAGAATATATGCGAAATGTAGGCAACGCGTTGCTCATGCCTTAGGTGTGCAAAGACGAGCAATGCTTTCTGCCACCTTGTCTGTAGCTATGCCCATAGTGGGGCCCCTCCTCTTACCCTTGCGCTGCTGGAGGTGACACTGCGCCTTGTGGCCTTGTGCATACGCACTTGTACGCGGAAGACTGCCTCAAGGATTTAAACATGGGTGTCACGCAGACGACATCTTCGAGGAAGTGTTACTTCTGTCCCTCTTCTTCAGGTGACGGCAGTGGATGCTCGTTGGCTAGCCGACTTAGGACCAATGTTTTTCGCACTGCGAAGGATGGGAGATGGAGCAGCCAACCTTCTGGCAGAAGACCAGGCAGATGCAGCGGGTAAGAATATCTACAAGCTTCACCTCTTCTCTCCGCCTTTCGCTGCCTCTTTTAAACTTGCCCGTCCGCGCCTTTCAGCTATTCTGTGCGCCTTAGCTTTTGACACCGGCAACAGCAGATCTTTGGAACTGCGCATCCTTATAAAAACTATCCCTCGCCAGTGGTTGCTTTCTCACCCTCTATCTAAGCAATCCTTCGCTGTCTGTCACTCGTCCTCCTCTGCGCGGCTGCGTTGGCGTCGCCTGTACTCGCCTTGTGTCTGCCCTTTCCTCTCTCTTGCTGCGCAGCGTTCGAGGCGCAAATGGAGAGGGATTTGCAACAGCAGCGAATGCAACAACTGAGCGCAGCAAAGAAGGGACAGCGCACATTTGTAGAAGCAACAGCAGGGCGGAGGAAAAGGGCAACAGGGCTCTCGTGTGTACCAGTACCTCCCACCTCGTCACTATCTGAGCTGCCATCTGTGGCCATAAGCAAGGGAATAGAAGAGACTGTAGACGCAGGTAACGACAAGATGGAGCAGGCGCACGGCGAGAAACACCCGCAAGAAGACATAGAGGCAGAAGCAGCCCTCCACAAACTGAAGTTGTTGCGGAGAGCTACCGTCCGTCAGCTTCCAAAAGTCAAGAGCGAGCGAGAAGCGATAATGCAGCCTTTGGACTCTGGAGGGGCAACAAAATCGCCAAAGGATGAATGAATCACCCGCATAGAAGCAGGCACATGTACACTGAATGCATCTTCTTCCGGCGGCCCTCCGTGCATATTTCTAGCACCCCCGTTGAACTGTGCTATTCCGTCTCTCTGCCCTTCAAAAGCTCACTGTATCTGCCCTTCAAAGGCTCACTGTATCTGCCCTTCAAAGGCTCACTGTATCTGCCCTTCAAACGCTCGCTGTACAGCTTAGGCCTGACGTTGAGCTTCCCCAGGGTGGCTTGAGGCTGTAGCGCCGTAAAGCGCACGGGCGCTCGAAGGCTTTGAGGCCTTAAGTCCTCTCTGACTATCCTGTGCGGGGAATGCAACTTGGTCTTTTTTCGAGTTTGAACTTAAGCAAGGGAGGGCGGAGGGGCCTTACTGGACGAACCACAATTCACTTGTGTGGATATGCACGTATGCTTACACTTTTGCATGGGTACATCTAGACAGGCAAGGCATATTGCTGGGGCTATAAGCAACCATGCGCACTAATGATCCTCGTCTGCTTTGCGGTGCTCTCCGTAGGGCTTTTGCGCATGGCAAGGCGCACACTGGTAGGTAGAAATATAGTGGAGACTTGAGCCTTTCAGCATCGTTTACAGAGAGACTTTCTATTGTGTACTGCTCCCGTGTCTTGGAAACTTTGGCAAGAGAATAGAGCCATTTTTCCAAGGTTTCCCGTCGCGTGGCAGGGATCAGCATGCCGAACAAGATATATATCTACTCCTACTAAAAGGAATGTACAGGGGCGGATACATAGATGAAAACCTCTTCACGAAAGGCTGATGGAAAAATTGGAACTGGTTGATCTTTGCATACAGATCGAGGCCGGAAGGTTTTAGGGTGGCCTTCCCCTCAAAGTTTCTGTTGTTCGCCTTCCCACTCGGCAACAAGTTTCTGTAGCTCCTTGCTGCCGTCTTCATTGACAAGCGGCAGCCTTGTCTCTATATCTCGCAATCCGCTATCATCTTCTCGCTCTGTCCCCGCGTCTCCGTCCCGCTGCTCTCTCTCCATTTGTTCCCTCCCCGTCTCCTGCCTCATCTCTAATGCGAGTTGTCGCTTTCGAGCGCTGATGCGGGGGCCCCGGGCCCTGCAGCAAAATTGCACGCCAGGTGTACAGGCACTTGCATCTCTTCCCTACTGTGACAGGTATACGAATGCATGCATCCTAGCTGACGAACAGAGGCATGCAGAATTCAGTGAACAGGCAAACACGAAACCAGGAAACTGCACGGAAACGACCAGAAAAGCAAGTCGTACAAACAAAGCAACCCCAACGGCAACGTCACCGTCATGTGAAGCCCCCATTCTGACCTCATAGACTTTCCCTTGAAATGAGTCACCCCGGTGCGTTTGATCTGACTGGGAATCATCGCAGGCCTCCTAAAGAGCTTGACTCCCTTGGGAAGCCAAACGTCTAGCAGTTTGGAGCCACTGCCCCCCACAGACATCCAGCCCAATCCCCCGATGCTCAGGTCGTCCTGAGGCATGCTCCCTGAACTATACACCTTTACCCTGCGGCAGAAAGGACAAGACATGAGATACCCTATGTGTAGACGCGCACCAGGAGGCAGAAGAGGCACTGACGGAGGCACGAAAGGCCGGCAAGATGCAGGTACAAAAAACCTTAGCTACACTGGAGATACACCGAATAGAGGCAAGCCTTATCTGTTCTCAGGGGGCTACCTTCCGTGAACTAGATGAACAGGCGTAAAGATATCTACAGATATTACTTCCTGACAGGCTGACCTGTGTCTGACTAGAGGCTGCAGCCGCTGAAACCCTTCAGGCAAATGCGGTGGGTAAAGAAAGGCGCATGCCTTGCGACGCAACAGATCTGTGGCGCGACTTGTCCTGAAAAGAGAACAGGACGACAGGTGTGTGGCATATAATGAGGGCGAGCCTTAGTAACCAAGAAATCCTCATTCAGGCCCATATACAGACAAACAACGAAAGAGATATAAACAGCAATCAGCAGAGGGGGAAGACTCTGATCTTGTGCAGAAGCACGGAAGACTACAGGGCAAGAGGAACAAAACGTAGATCAGCGCGTATCGATCCGTTCGTCCACCCTTATCCTGTACTATCTCTGTATGCAATCCTTAAGCCCTCTCACTTGCAGATGTGAAGCGTGATCTTGTGGCTGAAAAAGCACGTGCACAGTGCTGTGCGTCCTTCAACAAGGTCTATTCTTGCCATTGCGCCAATCAACAAGCTCTTTCCTTCTGTAAGCGCGTAGGTAACCGGCTGCAGCCGCTTACTGGGGACGACTGCTAAGAGATCCGGACCGTGCGGTAGCAAATTTGTTATCTGCAAATAGAGAAGGAAATCCAATCAGCATAGGTCGAGAGAGGCTCAGAAACCTCCGCTGGGGTACAGGCAAACGCAAGCCTTTGGGGAGGCTTGCATTCACGACCAGAAACTCTCGCAATAGGGCCGTATGCCTCAATCTTCACCTGGCTACTAGAGGGAATGCCTGGAGTATCAACCAGCTTGAAGCCTTTAGGAAGGCCGAATGGCATGAGGTCTAGAGTGGTGCCAGGCAAAGCCGATCGCGTGGCGCCGCCCACAGCCCGCTTTAGAAACAGCGTGCCGAAGTGTCTGTACAGCAGACGCAGTAAAAGCCATGGCCGCAGCGGCAATTCAGCAGCACCAACTACGGCCCAAGAACCGTGAAAACAACTGTATACCACCAGCAGGACCCTATAGTACGCCTCCAGCAATTACACCAGCGGCATCTGCAACTTCATCGGACGCGTCTCCATCAGGAACAACGGCAGAAGCGCCCTCTTACTTGTATCCGACAAATTTAAGAAATCGATTCACGAAGGTTGACTTCCCCGCGTTTACTCTGCCCACAACAAACATGAGGCGTCCGTCTGCTTCCGTGTGTATGCCCCCTGCTTCGATATCGCCTGCCTCTGCTGAGAGCAAATCCCCTATTCGCTTCTCTAAAGCCTCAAAGCCAAACCCTAAAGCGCAGACAAAGCAGGGATGGGAAGGCCACAAACGGAATATAGGAATGGTATGAGCGGACGGTGAAGGAAGCTGGATTGCATACAAGCGTCAAGACTTTGGTCCGGATGAAACCAGGAGAGCAAACGGCATGTTCTAGAGCAGAGAGTGGAGGGGGAGTTCAAATTCAAAAAAACAGCAGGCAGAAAGAGGAAGAAGGTATCGCTCGTCACACATAAAGAAAGTGTAAAAGAGACACGGATGATATAAGGGCCTCGGATGGAGCGCAGAAGGCACGGCCAAACTAAGGCATTCCCAAAAAAAACGGAGGTTACAGGATAGAAACTCTTGAAGAGGGAAACAAAGTTGCTGCTGAGACTCCTACGCCCATAATTATCGCCACGGCTTGATTTCACGCAGTAAGCAAAACAGCCCTAAGCAGCCGAAAACATAGAGCAAGGGACGAGGTAACAAGAAGCGACGAGAGGGCTTGCCAGTAGCTGAGGAGACGAGGAGGCAGTCATCAATGTGAGCATTCCTAATTTGACGAACCATTCGACGCACCCAATGCTTCACCCTGAGGAGGAAAAGCAGAACACGTAGAGCGATTCAGGCAGAGAAGCAAGACAGAGAGTGACAAGTAAAATTACCGAAAGACGAAACCAGACAGAGCAAAAGACAGGGACGAGGTACAGACATGCTTTTAAATCCCAAACGCGGAAAGCAGATGCCAGCAAATCTCTCATGGGCCTGACTCATTTAGGTTTGTATCTCTGGGGAGACAGTCAACTCTGTTGATGATCCAGAGAGTCTTCAGCCCTTTTTGCCGGCAGGCCTCGAACAGCTCTGGAACCACAGAGAGCTCAAGGTCGCATATGTCAACAATCTTCAGGATGATGGAATTCTTGGGCATGAGGCGCGTGAGATGCGTTATTACGGAAGAAGCAGAAAGGGCAGGAAGCATCCCGGAAGAAGTGACGGCCGAAGATTCCCAAGCGCTGTCAATGTTGCGGTAGTGCTGCGTTCCACAGAAAGAAGAGGGGAACTGATCACTTGAGAAGAAAAGACATAACAGCAATCGCTGGGAGAGAGACGATAGGGGAAGAAAGCGAGGCAGCCGTAATCAGGTATGTGAGTGGGCACGTGTGCCGGAACCAACTAGGTGCCTAGAGATACAAAGTCAGCGACAGAAAACACAAAGAAGGCCCAGCAGAATATGAGTGAAGAAAGGTCGAGGAGACTTCAAGTGCGAAAGTAGAAGCCTGGAGTCAGAGAGATGTACGCTGCGGACTAGAGGGAAAGCAAGAAACCTGTCAACATGAAAGCATTTGCAGCTTTGCTTTGTTGTGGTGTACCTGCATCCTAAAGCACCGCTGACAAGTTAGGAGACGCGTTCGCATCCGGAACTTTGGGGATGTCATCTGCGTGAGTACCGAGAAACATGCAGTCTACATCTTGGAACGCAGATTCACACGCTGTCTTCCTGAATGCTCCCCTCCTAAATTCCCAAGACGTAGGATCCCAACCGTACCAGCCGTCATAAGGACAGCCCCGACGCCGAGTTCTTGAAGCCTAATTCCTAGCGCATGTAAGGTTACCTGTATGACTTCTACTCCATCTGGTACCGCGTCCACCACTTCCCCTCGAGGGCGAGGCAAAGCCTTGATTCTCCCACCTAGACACACACGCTTAACCCCAAGCCAGAAGCTGTAGGAGGTCGAGAGCGGCGTTCAACAGATACTCGAGATGCCCCCATGCCCCCCCCCTTCGCCATGAGTCGCCTAGTTCGATACAGCTCTTATGCCCCTCCCCTCTAGTAAGCCATCCACTGTGGCCATAAGGCCTCTTAGCACTTCTCGACCTTCACTCGTGTAGCAGCCAAAGCACTGAAATCACTTAATTTTTCATTAAAATTCTACAGGCGACTCTGCTAGGCGTCGAAATGGCGCGCAGCTACGGGATAAAATGGCTCAAAATAATTTCGGAAACCCAAATGAACACAAGCGACCCCTCCCCCCTGAAAGGCTACACCGCGGCGATCCCAACAGTGCATGGGGTGTATGTGTACCCGAGAATTCATCGAGTTTGCTCTTGGGAACGAAGCCAATTGCGTTTTCATCGTCAGTCTGGAGAGGGGCGCCGCAGCCAGAGCATCGCGTGGGCTGCATCCTGTCCACCTAAAGAGAAGAAAGGGCAGGAGGGGACAGAAAACTGTGGGATGCTGCATCTCCACGCAGATGTTTGTCGACGCAGGTACATGCACAGGCGTAATCAGGTGCACACGGGCTGGCCGTAGTCTCCGTAGTCGCAAAGACATACACATGCGCACAGACAACAGGAGGATACACACAGAGACTCACGCTTACGCATATCGACGCGTGTAGCACATAGGCAAGAACATACATACGCAAGCAGGCAGGCATCCACTCAGAGTTGCGGGAAAGACCAAGAAGGGAAGGAAGTGGCGTGCACGACTCTTCCTTCCCTCACACACAGCAATGCATGCAAGGGATGTGTCTAGGAACCCGCTCATCCAGAGACACGGATCCAATGCGGTTGTACCGCATCACTACACGTGTATGCATTCATACCCATGGACATATATATATATACGAAAGGATATATTTTACCACATAGAGCCCCGTAAACTCTTGCACGCAACGCACGCTTGTTAGCATTCCGACACAAGCAGATGCAACACACATGTGCAAACGCTCGCAAGATATATATGCATGCACAACACATTTGCAAACACCCAAACACAAGCGCTGTGCATGAAAAAACCATGGACCCTTTGCTTGCCGCCTTTTCATGCGCACCCAAAATAAATCTGTTGGTATCCCCTGAAGCCGCCTTGGTCCTTGCACCTCGACTGCATCCGAGGATCCTACGGCAGCCTCTTGAGAACCCCGAGTACCCGAAGTTTCATCGAGGATCGCTTTCGAGTCTTCACAGGAAACAAAGTGACGGTTTGCTGAAGGGGCAACTCCTAGAGCAGCGGACGCCTTTCCAACATGTCTTGGGGGGAGGAAGCCCAAACATGGTGAATAGCCCAAGAGGTGTGATACATCCGGCAAATGCTTCCTTAAGCGCCTCAGTGGGGCCTTAAAGATTCCGAAACGGCCTTCTGAGGGCTTGGGTACTCCAGTGCCAGGAGATTCTCTCTGTAGAAGTGCTACAGCTCTTCGGGTGCCTGCTGGTGGAAGGACCCCCAGGGGGTGGACAGCGCGTGAGATGGCATTGCAGGCAACCATATTTGCGCTGCTAATCTAGAAGCGAGTCGGCTTTATCGGTTTTCGCACGGGCAGGACTTCAGTGGAAACGTAAGGAGACAGAGATGTCGGTAACCGATGTGCTCTGAACTGAATACGTTGAGCAGTACCTGGGAGTGGATGCACTCACCCAGACGGCGGCATCACTCGCTACTTTTATGTATTTCCAGCCACATTTGCCCCGTGAAAGAGGAAAAATGGATGTATAAACAGCAATCACAGCCGAAGGTCTGACCCCTAGAGCACACCATAAATTCAACCAAATCCACTATACGTATATCAGCAATGAAAAATACAGAGGTTGTACCTACCAGCAGCGAGAAAAATAAGTGTGTCCAGAGCGAATCCCCAGTCCATGGACTTCTTAGGCGGGCCCCATCAGCAATGTGGGGCCCCCAGCAGGGCCCCTGAGAGTGTTGTGGTCGTATGTCTAATGAATAAAAAGGCTAACTGAATGAGCTCTCTGTGAAAGAAGAGGGTTGCTACAGAGCTGTTTTCTGGTCATTTTATACAAGGGTGGTTTTGAATGAAAGCTGCAAAACGCAACGGTTTACCCGACACCGATACAGTGCAAATAGTGTGCATCTATTGGACTGTGCATTCCGTGCGTTGAATAGTTTTCCTTGCTAGATACAGAGGAAACGCTAGTGGCCGGTATTACCACATACTCAAAGGACACTGTTGCCAACAATGAGCACAACGCTGTCGCTCCTTACAGCTACCTCAAATGGAGTGGGCAGCAGTATCAGTAGGTAGGGGCATGGGAATTGCACCCTGATCTTGGCAACTGCATAGAAATATCGTGTTTTCTATATACAACCTGCCATCTTTTACTCCTCAGAGCCCTTTACCCCTGTGAAGCGCAAACACTAAACTGCATTCATGCCCTTGACGATATAGTGCATTAATTAACTCAAAAACACCATAGCTCCTTGGCCTGCGCTATTCGCTAAGCACTTTACCAGTGCAGACATGAAAAAATAAGCACGATACAATACGACATATCAATATGCATCGTGGCAACTGCTTTTTGCCAGCGCCGAGGGCAGGAACAAGGCAATTAAGATTAATGCTGAAAATAGGCCTCAGAAGCTTAGCAAACGAGCAAGTGCCATGAACGCTCAATTTACCCCTCAAATCCTCAATTTTCAGTGCCCTTCGATGCTGTGCGGCACCTCAACTGAGTTAAAACTAGAAATAGGGCAATTTGGGTCTCTCTACGCATGGCTGTTATGTGCATTTGCAACTGGACGTGGTTGTGTGCTCTTCGTGCTGCTACCTGTATCAAGTGTGGTGACCTGTTATCCTGGGTCGACACTACGCTGTGCAGTTTCCTGCACTGTTCCCTCGTCCAGGAGGGGCACATTTTGCCGTCTATACACGCACACCAGTTACGTACCACAAAATCTAATCCCTGCACAGCCAATACACTTCGTCACAATGCCCCATCATTCCTGTCGGTATCTGCTGTATCCCTGTGGTGCGAACGCAGAAAATCCAGCAGCAGCTCCGTAGAACCCATAAGTGACTTTCTAGCCTTTGGACGTACGATAAGAGGGAAAAGAGTTTAGAATTCTTGGCTTCTAGTCTAAAGTAAATTTTACAGCAATTGTGTTTGAGTGTTTTGCGCTGCTTTTAGGCGGCAGACCTTTGCGAATCATACCCTTTCAATTCGCGGCGTCCATAGCACAATGCTAAGCGCACACAATGAAGTTTTAGGTATGCGTCTAAAGGAGAGGGCTTTGTATGTACTCTTGAGCGGATTTCCTAAAAGGAAGAAGTACAGACGGTGCCACTTGCCCAGAGCATCTCGCTCTCTCTCATAATTAAACTTCGTGATTCACATTTGAACGCTGTGTCATTGCCTTCCAAAAATGTTCTCTCTTATCCAGTGGAATAGGGTGTACAGCCGTAAGAAGTCTTAGATCTTTTAGCCGTGCGTCTGTCGTTCCCCAAAAAGCATTTATTTCTGCTTGAGGGGCGCTATCTTGGGGTGTAACTCCCAAAACTTGGAGAGACAACCCCACAAAACAGTCCTCATTGCTTAGGAGGGGCAAGGTCGAAAATTTTGCTGCAATCTTTTCGACCAAGTCCATAGACAGGACGTAGCAAGGCCCAGCAAGATATGGAGGATACGTAGGGTGCGGATAGGTCCAAGGATCCTGATAATTTGGGTGGGATAGGTCTCTCTCCACCGGGATTTCTCTTCTCAGCACTCCAACCGCCACATTTTTTTCCGTTTCCTTGGAAATTAAGTAATCTCCCATCTTCTGTATATCCAAAACAGTGTCCGTGTCCACCTTGACCATGAATTTGGCTTGAGGACAGGAGGCTGCCAGCCACTGAACAGCGGTAATGAGCTTATAAGTCAGGTGAACGTATTTTTCCGGAGCTTCATGTTGTATTATGTCCTCAAACTCTCGTGCTTCTGCCTCTATTGCTGATTGGACAGAGGGGGATTGCACAGCCCCTAAGACAAAGACGAGGCGCACGCGACGGTTATTGACCCTGGACACCCCTCCCCAGGTAGATCGCACTAGCTGCCGCCCTCGAAAATCTGATGCAGCGCTTAGTGATACTAGCGCAATAAACGGGGAGTCATCAGCGCAGCTCTTCTCGGGGCTTATCAACAAGCGCCAGCCCGCTTGTACGGGAAAGGACAGCAGCACGCGAGTGGGGAATGCGAACGACCAATTGCAAGAAAGCGCTGAATCAAGGGACAAAATGACAACCAGAAAGAGGCCTAGTGAGATAAGAAAAAGCCCTGAACGCGGAAGCATGGGAAAGTCGCGGAATATCGGACGGGCCTGAGCAGATTTCGCCAACAAATACGCACTTCAGGACGGGGAACCACGTAAAATACAGCTCTCTCGGCCTGTTTAGCTCACACTTTACTCGTAGACCAAAATTTGCACCTATACACTTCGCGAATCTTCTAAGCCAGAGGTCTCAATGAATTCAGCCTAGTGATACTCCTGAAACTATTGGCCTGCTGCTGCATCCGCAGCCCCCAAGTCAAACCCGAAGACTGGTCCTTTTGCTTGTCTATTTGCCTTAGCTCACCTCTTTGCAGTTCAGTTTTTCAAAATGTGGGGAAACTCCGCAACCCTCCGCATGCCCATCAGGAATAACAGCCAGTGGTCCAGACGGAGATGGATCCAAGCTTTGCAGGTGGATGCGGAAAAACATTGCAGTGTTTTTCTGCACCCACCCAGAAATCGCCATGAGTAACCTTTTATTTAAATAAAAAAGGCGTCTTCAAGCAAACGAAAACAACACGGTGGGGCACGAAACCTGTTTGTGTCTTGTATGTCCAGTCCCTTATTTCCTGCATTGACCTTCTCTCCCACCCACAACAAGCAAGAAAAACCATATGATGTGTTCTTATTTCCTCTTGATAGGTTAAATGCGTCAAGCAAATATTGTTTTGGTGTTTTGTTGAACACGTTCGAGACGCACGATGACAATTTCAAGATTTTCCTCGGTGCCCTGAATTTCTTTTTAATGCACGCGTTTATCAGGAAACTAAACCTACATATTCTTGACTATAGCTAAAAATGCAAAGCTCGCAACAGCATAGTGTCCTGTGACTTAGGTATTGGACTGGGCCTTTATTCGCAATGTCCGGTGGCTCAAGGAGCACGGATGCCGGAACGCCGTTGGGGCCCCTGGTGGATGAGCACGACGAACTTCCTAGTGTAACTCTCTTCGAAGGCTTAGCATGTGAAAACGGCAAATACTAGAAACATCAAGTATTTATCTCCGTAAATAAGCACATTATCCCAGATTTTGCACGTTACCGACCACTTGCCCTGGGGGACTAAGGAACAGCTGCTGGCCCCCACAGTGAAAAAACATAGTCCATGGTAGTTCAAAAGCCTTGTGCCCATGGCTGTGTATCGTACCATAAAATATGTAAGTTATCGCCGCACGGGTCTTGTTGGTTGACCATAGGCTGCTAGCAATGGCATTTGCTGTACCTTTGCACGCTCTATTACACTAGTTACGTTTAGTCAAGGTTTTGCGAAGAACTGACTAATTCGTGTGGCTGCTTGTATATCATTTACTACAATATAGCACTAGCTGGACAAGATCCGAATTGATGCCGTGTCCGTGTGCACTGAATTCTACTTGCGGCTAGCTGTAAATGCTTCATGTGATTTGAAAGCGCAGAAACGCAGGCCTTAGCCGTCCTTCCCTCATGTCAAATCCCCAAAAATTAAGGGCAGAAAATTAGAAATGCACTATTCAAACACATCCAACGGCATTCCATAGAGTTTTACTGAGAACGAAATGGCGTGCTTTCATACAAAACCTTGCAATGGAGCGTTGCAGTTGGTAGCACCCCACAATAGGATGCGTCTTTTTCTCCGCTTACCCACTGGCTGTGATTGCAGTGTAATTTCGATTCTCCTACAAAAGCTGTCTGGTTTTGATATGGCTAGATGATAATTAAATAGCTGCAACTACAGCCAGTGGATGAGCGTGGCAACAGACGCATCCTATTATGGGGTGAGTGTAATGCTACCATGTAAGATTTCTGTAGAAAATCACGCCACTTCATTCTCAATAAAAGCCTATGGGAAGCTATTGGATGTACTTTAAAGAGTACATTCTTAATTTTCTGCCGTTAATCATCAGGGATTCGACATAAGGGAAGGGCGGCTAAGGTCAACGTATCTGCGCCTTCCAATCACAAAAAAAGGCCCATTTGCGATTGGAACTAACTATGCCACAATGCCTGCTGGGGTGAATGAGGTTAGCCCACAAGCTAATGTGAGCGCACTAGGTCTACAGCTGGCGGAGATATGTGATTCGTCTGCCGCTAAAGCGCTTGTAAGTGTGCAGATTAAGTAATGTTTGTCAGAAAAGGATGAAGGCCATAAGGATGAACAAGTCCCCCAAGATTTCATGAGCAATCAAAGAATGCCTTGCATCGTACCCCTGACTGAAGAAAACAAGCTTTTCTAGCTAAACGTTTATTTGGTAGAGAAGCACTTAAGTGGTACTTTGCCCATAGGGAGAAACTAGTCCAGCAGGACCCACTACAGCTCAAGCCTTCATGCAAGCCTTGGCTCATCGATTTATGTCACAAGCACCTCAGACACACTCACATTCGTTTTTTTGCCAGATCCGATGAGTGGCATAGGCAAAGGAAGGATCCTCAATAATGTTGTAAGCTTTAATTCGGCTCAACGATTGCCCTGAGCCTTTGCTTTAGCGCAGATAGTCGCCATGCAGCTGGAAAATTAGTTATATTTTCCGATTTGTGCGTACCACCCTTGCGCTGTGGCCATGATTTTCTTCTTTACCAAATCCTAAATGACGTAAACGGCAAGAGGGACGCAGGCTTCGATCCTATCCTCATACAGACATTCGTATCTGTGCGCAGATGTGGCCCCTCAGTCGTTGCTATTGGCGAAACGGATCAAGGGCCTATGAAAGCAGGGGAATCGATCAAATAATTAATATATCAATTGATATGAAGCTTTTATATCCTGCAGACTAACATCTGCTTTGTCAATGGTATTCTCTCGGGTCTCCGCAAAGTGTCACGTAAGGTCCCAGGAGGAGCGGAGGATCAGCGACTACCCAGCATAGCCAGTGATGTTTCTGCAGGTGACGTGCTGCTTGACGCTTTATGCGCAGATTAGACCAACTATCGCCTTCTTTGGCTGAGAAGGACGGGCGAAGTCTGTAGCTGAACCCTATGAGTGTCAGGCCTGTGCCAGCCAGCCAAAGCCAACAGTGTATTAAATAGGAATGCAGACTTTTCCACCAAAATCCTAGTGCATGGAGTGCAACTAGGGTGGCGATGTGTCCGAGCGGTTAAGGGGGTTAAACAGAAATCGACAGGGCTCTGCCAGCGCGTAGCTTTTCTTTGCGGATGACCTAACTCATCAAGCGCTCTCGCTCACAGTTGTATGATTGCGATGTATTAGCGTACCTCGCAGACACCCTAAATATAACAGCCAAGTAATAGAGTTCCTTGGCCCAAAGAACCACAATGGTTCTCAGAGACTCCGCTCAACCGACTGCTTGGTTCCTGGTAAATGCGAGCCCACCATGATAAGTCTCTCTCCAAACCGCTGTACTCAGTCGTCTGCCGCTAATCCCAAAGTCCTTCCACACGATGTGGCATGTAGCGCACATTGTGCGATGCGCTGTATGCAGAGACCTGCTGCAGTGCGCAAAGATCATAAAATGACCAAACACCAGTTCTCGTCTAGCAAAGGACCATATGTCTCTTCTTAAAACCAGATAACACTCCACTTCCGACTCGGATAAAGTGGCTATCAGGCTTAGTGCTCCGTGACAGGACGGCGGCTGCATGGCAACCCTACAGCAAAGCTTGTTATATATTCTTATAGGTCCTTTTCTGTTCTAGCCTCACCCATTTATCTTTTATTTCAAAGTTCAAACGCTTGCTGACATGCTTATGCAATTGCAATGCTGTGCACTACAGATCCTCCCTCCTCTCGAGCACCCCATAAATCCTTAATGTCGGTTTCTTCAGCTTCGTCAAGGGGTACAACTGTAAGTTTGCTTCGAGAACTTCTCCCTTCGCGTGACCTGCAAGCACCACTGCGAGTTCCACACCTTTGTCTCTCCTACTGCTGCCTGAGCAAATTTGGGCCCGAAAGGCCGCCTGATTGTAGCCATCTAAGAGCTCCCCCATGTGGCTGCTGCCAGAGTCGCTTCTTTGTCCCCGCCCAACCCACCCATCGTCGCTTCTGCGGGGGCGACGAAGTCTGCTATTTTCTAATGGAGTCGTTTGCCACGGTTTCGTGACCAGGTGCGCAGGAATGCCTGGCAATTGGTACGGTACCTGGCGGGTTCTCAGGTGGCCTAGTCCTGTGGCGTGCTACACCATTTGCCCAGATACTGAGTGCGATCGACCGTGCTCTTATCAGGTACAACGTATTCCACTTCAACGACTGACGCCTACCCTATGGCCTCCCAAACGGGCAACCATCGACCGCTGCCTCTTAAGAACTCATACTAGGGTTGTGCGGTCAGTCCCGACAAGTAGAGATACGTGTAAAACATCCTCACAAGTCTATTATGGAGGTAAGGCGACGTAGTAGGCCACCTTGCATATTCGCTTGACCATCGAAAATGGGCCGCGGTAACGAGACTCAAAAGTGGATCAGATGGAAAGAATCGGAAGTCTGCGCCTGCTGCTATGCACTTTTTCGCCCACAGCAAACTCAGCTTTCCGTCGCTGGGAGTCGATGCAGAACTATTGCTGCGACTTAGCTCTAAATATATGACTTTGAGCCCAGTCATACAGCTGCCTAAGCAGCTTCGCGATATGGGCTGTAAGCGTGAGCGTAAGCGCTATCAACTTCAATGGCTGATGCGATAAAGGGGTCGGGCAGCTCATAACTTTGAAGGAACTAAATTTGGCAGGCGAATCGTTGGTGGTGTCGTAGACGGGCTCAAAAAAGGAAACAAGCGCTCTTACTCGCTGTCGTCGGATCTAACGTATGTCCGCAGTATCTGTTTAAGCGTTCTGTTGGTGCGTTATGTCTAACTGTCGTATTGACGGTGGTATGGGGATGGCCTTGCCTGCGTAATGTTGAAATGCTGGCATTGCTGCTGCTACAACTCAACCTGGAACCGGGGGTTCTGAACAGAAATGAAGACCTGTGGAAACCCATGGTATTGGAAAAAAATCGGAGACAAGTCCGGTCAAATCCTCTGTTGCAGTAGTCTTGGTATTCGAAATGAAATGTGCTATCGTACCTGCGGAGTCCACCAAGACGAGATTTGAGCTGTTGCCGCTCATCGTATATGAGAGACCCGTAATGCACTGTACTCCGTGTGGCTCCAAAGTATGCAAAAAACAAGTAGTGGCTGACGGAAGCCTCTCGATTTCTGGTTAAATGCCCTCGACGCTCGGCACTCCACCTGCGACTCCACATAGCCATTCGTATACGCCCCCATACGCGGCCAGAATAAGGGTCTGCCCAGAGCCTTGGGAGTACACTTTTGCCAGCGATAGCCCTTAGTGACGTAGTCATGGGCCGGTATAGCACGTAACTTAGAAATTCTGGCAACAGGGACCCAAATGAGCCACAAGCCATTCTAGACAAATGTGCCGACAGTGGGGGCTGAGACGAAACGCGTAATTGCTGGCGTTAGAGAATAGACCTCTTCGCCTTTTCGCTGCTCGGGCTCTTTGCAAAGCACGAAAAACTCATAGTACTTTGCATCTCATAAGGCTGATACCGTTTCAAGTTAGCCTCAGGGGCCTAGAAAGCAAGCCCTCGGAGTCCGGGGGCTGTGGTTCACCGGTGGCAAGCGCTTCTGCCTCCAACGCAGAAAGGTCCAGTGACTGAGGCTTAGAAGCACGTGTTGTGGCTGCCTCGACTGGAGGCACTGGCTCAGGCGTCGGTTGGGTTGGGGGATATCGGCGCTGGTGAGTCGACCGAGCTCGCAAGCTGGCGTCCCCCCAATTGTTAGCCGATGTCACTGATTATTCTACATCTGTGCTAGTGCATCAGCGGCTGCTTCAGTGAAAGTATTAACGCTTGGGATGTGACGCGGTCAGTGACCGGCAGCTGCGGAGAGTCAGCGACAGCGGTACACTGCGGAAGGCGAGCGAGCATCCGTAACCTGGTCGCACGTGCCCTCCGGGTAACAGACCATGAGGTCTTGAAATTCGGCTAAAGCATGAAGCCAAGGCATCTTACATCCTCGCATTGGCTCGGATGAGGTGAGTTAGTAGATCAACTTCAGTAATCAGTACGGGGGGCATTCTTTGTGCAACGGGGTACATGTTACCTCTTATCAAAGACGTGACCAAAGCCAAAAACTCCGGGTCGCTAATGGAGTAGTTCTGCTTTGCCAAGATCATGACCTGGCTACGGAAATCGACTGACTTGTTCTTTTGTTTCAGCAGTGCACGTAAGGCGGAGCCCGATGCACCGTTATATAGGTGGTAAGGTTTGATGAAGTCGGGAGCTTTCAGAATCGTATATCCAGCTAGCCCCTCCTTGGACTATTTCACAGTGTGGGAGGGTAATGGCCCGCAGACAAGCCTTGTCTTTTTATCAGGTAGTTGTGCTACGTCAGTGGACCTAGTCCCATTAGCATAGGGGAGTAGCAGGCAGTCCTGAGGATTTACCGCACCTGCGTATCGTTAGTAAACACCTCTGGTTAGATAAAACAGGAGATGTCCGTTTTGGGTGAAGGCGTTAGACCCTTACCACTAATAATGTAGCTGAGATACTCCAATGGGTCTTGCGAGCTTACATCATGAATTTTGCGTAGAGTTAAGGCTTAAGAAGGTGCTCACCACCTCCCGCATGAGGTGCACGCGAGGATCCAGTAGTGGAATGTAGATAAGAACCGCGTGTAAGTAGGCCATATTGGGCCAAAATTAAACACAATACGCATTGATATTAGGATGAAGCGCGGTGGTAGCACCCTTGAGACCGAACGGCATCCTCGTATATTCAAATAGACCCGTTGCTGAGCGGAAAGCGGTCTTCCATCGGTCTTTTGGCGCCATCCGTTTTCGAGGAGCCTCGACTTCCAGCTCAAGTACAAACTCATACACCGCTCCGCTCAAAAGTCCAAGAATAGCTTGCAATGATGGCACTGCATGTTCCGGGGCTATCGTCACGGCGCTTAGCTCTTCGTACTTGACCATCATTTGCATATGCCTTTGCCTATGTCTCATCATCTTGCTTTCCACCATGACTGTGGAGGCACAGCTAGGCGAATAGGCTGAACCCATCCACCCCTTCCAGGTCAACTTGGCAATCTTCTGCTTGTGCAAAGTAAGGTGATAGGGTGGCATGCAGCAGGAAGCGGCTCTCGTTGGTAGTTTGCTCTGTACGAATAACGTGATGATCGTAAGGACGCTTGGGAGGCAACCGCTCTGGGAGGCTAGGTTTTGAAGAACAAACCCCAAACTGAGAAGGCAGTCCATGAGCTTGCTCCGAGTGTAACCAAGAATCGAAGTGGTTGTACACAAAGGCTGCAATAAGCCACAGGGGCTACTCCTCGGTCACAGCTGGGGCAGTAAGGGGTAGCTCTCCAGCAAAGGATATTGGACCAAGGCTACGCTGATGCTCGACGAGCGCCCAGATCAAAAGCCCCTGTACCCAGTAACGGGCAACGTGGGAGTGTTGCTTAGCCCCTGTAGTGCCAACTGAGACTTTTCATTCTGAATCTGCGCCTGGTGAGAGAGAGTTTTTAGGAACCCGTGTTTTGACCTTGTACTGAGTTGTACCGTTCAGGACAAAGTCATAATAACTGTGTCACTTGGGCCGCTGACACGCGGGCAAGCTGCAGATCTTCATTGCTCAGTCGTGGTAACGGGTCTTGAGAGCAAACTCACGTGCCTGCGGTATCCCCGTCTCGTGGCATTGGCGTGTCACACCAGTGGCCAATCGCACACGTACGCAGCATGTTTGACTGGGGATACCATGGAACCTAATGTGTGCTAAGCCAGTCTAGTTCTCAGATAAGGTCATAGGGAATAGGCCCTACCAGAAAGTCGCCCCAGTAATATTTTCTGCCGCATCATAGATAATCGCGAAACAATACGATTGGTATGAAAGCTTTCCCCGTTGGCCAAGGTAAAGCCACATTCCTTGCGCAAGAAACCGGCCTCATGACTCAGGCGCTGTATCATTTCTGGCCTAATAAAGCAGCTATATGCCTCCATGTCCAGCAGCACTTTGCACTCTGCGCCACGCTGTCCATACATAACACTGCTACTCGCCTAGTAGTCCACAGCAGCACCGAAACCCCAGTGGCCTTTCTCCGGCTATTGGCATCTTTCCACAAATCTCGAGTATTATGGCAATCCGCGTCACGAGGCTTCCCTGCTGAAGTCTACGACGTACCTGCGTCTATCCCTTTACCGCCGTTTCCCTTGGATCGAATGGCTTATGGCTAGCCTTCGGCTTGGCATCCTCTGGTATACGGAACTCCTTCAGGGCTTACAATACTGTTTCATCCTCGCTCTCCGTCCTTAACTCTTCGTCTACCTACTGTAAACAGACAGAGTGCCTTAAAACTAGGCAGATTTAGATGGCGTTTGGTCCCGCGGTGGCAGTACACATCAATCCATCCTTAGCACTGCTGCGACTGGTACGGCTGTCTCCTACAACGTGTAAGCTTGACCATTTAAAGACTTCTGCTGCTCATCTCTGCTAGTTAGCTCCTAAGTGATTGGTGCTCCCTGTGACGACTGAGCTCCTCCTCATCGTGCTGCGTAGTCAGCGCCGTGGCGACCCCTACCCCCAAACATACGCCACAAATCTCCTGACCCGCACTGAACACAATCCGCAGCCGCGGCTCCTCACAAAGCATCCTCTGCTGTTGCATTTACAACAAGCCAACTCGTCGGCCTATTCTCGTTGAGTTTTTGCTACCGACGCTCGTCCGAGTATATGTCTGCTGGTAAGTACGCAGTGACGCTGGTTAGCCGCTTTCACTTCCCCTTTCCTCCGTTTAACCTGATGTCGGACCTCTTCTAAGTACCGGCGATCTCTGCGCTACTCTGCGCAGTCCTGGCCGCTAGGGATTTCGAGCTCCGACAACCCGACTGGCACATTCTCGCAGCCAGTAAATGACTCTTTGCTCTTCATTTCGAGCGTTGGCATATGTCCTCTGGCAGGTTGGCTAACAAACGCCTTAAGAGCTCCTTTGGCGGTAGCACTACGCCCTGGTAGACTATCTCCGACACTTATACGGAGTAATCACAATGCCCTTCTGTCCACTCGTTGTCGGCCAGCTGAAGCAGCACTTTCTGGTATGTATTCCCACAGAAGTCTCTCGAGAGGCATTCTCTCAAGCCTTCTTAATCCTGCATATATTCATCCCCCTGAGTATCCCTGATTTCCCCTTCTAAAATTCTGACCCCTTCGCATCTGAACCTGCTGCCTATGGAACTTCCCACTTCCAGCTGCCATGGGGATATAACCTTCATCGTCAGACTCGTTTCTACTATTTTCTTCTTTGAGACACATTCAATATGAGCTTGCGTCCAAGCAAGCTCATATTGAATGTGTCGTTATTATCTAAACTTTCACGGCGCATGTGAAGACATGGCTCTTGGTCACCTACTGCACACTGCTCGTCAGCATCAGACATCTTGATACGCATGAAGATAGCGGCTTGCCATCTTCCTTCGGCACTCCGTCAACTGCTTTTTCTAATAAAGCTTATCATAGAAATCAAAGCGCGTTGAGATCGAGAGCCTGTGAGGCGGTGAAGCAGACGAGATTGTGCTTCACTGCGTCCGTATACGTTTCTGCTCACTGGAACTCCTGCCGCATGATCATGAAGTCAGCGTCAGCCTGAGACAAGCCCACGTTTGGATTTCAGAAAAAAATAGAGCTCATAGTATTCAAGGATCAATTTACTTGGATGCTTTTGAAAAGCCACTTCGGCCAGAACTCAATAACCTTGATTTTCAACTAAATGGGGTTAACTTGTTCGCTGCTTTTACTGTATCCGAGACACTCATCTGAGAACCTGCCAAAAAGGCATCTTTTAATGTGGGTACTTTGTGACTGGGAGAAGTTTTAGCACATGGCCTAACAGCTTGATGTGGGAGGCTCCGTCCGCTTCGTAGACTAGAATGCCGTCTAGGTAGATTATTCCGATGCCAATCCAGGGTACGAGCACATAACATTTTATCGCTTGGAACGTGCGTGGAACTACTTGCGGGCCAAAGGCCTAGGCGTTGAACGCATTTTGACCCGTATAGCTGAGGATGTCGGCCTTTTACGGATCCATTGGTATCACGCGGACCCGGAAGAAGACTCCTGCTCCATGTCCATCGACGTAAATGCCTGTGCGCTCTTTATTATCTATAGAACCTTGATAATTGTGGGTAGCAACTATTTAGGCGATATTGCGATCATGTGAGGTTCCTTTTTAATTAACGACCATACCGTACTGCTGTTAGCCCAACGCAGCACCTTCCTCGGCCATGATCATGGATTGTGGGACAAAAGAAGTACAAGTGATACGACTCTTGTCCCTCAGCTTCTAAAAGGCACTTCTCTGTGAACAAAGTTTTTCCTGACTTACGTGCCAGATTACTCTTGTCCTAACATCTTGCTCGGCACCTACGAAGTTGCGTGACTGAGGACTTTCTCAGGTGGCGTCCGTTGAAGGCAGCAAGGCCAACCTACTTCTTCTGCGCAACTCATTCTCTCATGCAGTATTTATTCTTCAAGGAAACGATAGCTCTCCCCGGTGGCCTGCGTCACCACGCAAAATTCCCACTTTCTTCCATTTCCCTAAACTCGTCGATACTCTCTTTAATTTCAGATTATTATGCTTCGCCAATGCTTTAAGATTTACACTACATGCGCGCTTGTCATCGTCGTATTACGTAATAAAGGCATCCTCCATGGTGCCAACAGGGCAGAAACCCAGCTAGGAGGGTTGATTTTGCTCTTGTTCCTTCCACTGCCGCTCACAACCATCTGTGCTCTTGGCACGATCTTTATGTAACTTTCGACTAGGCTGTCTTTCCTGGGACTCAGTCGTACGAGGATTGTTGCATGCTATGAACCCAGTTCCTGAACGTCATAAGCATCTGACGGTGTGCTGCTGCTGCGGCTTAGTGGGCTGCTTCCATTGCTTTGTTTGGCATCAGCTGTTGCGTTCAGTGTGTTGCTGCTGTCAGGGCTTTTGCTCACCAGCCACACTACAACGCCACCATCCCGGGCCTGCAGCTTCCCCTCTCTGAGCCCCCAGATGCCTCGTATCATCAATAGCCCAAGCACCGAGGAGCGTTCGGTGTGGAACGTAGGGGCCCAGGAAGCTGTGATGGCTCCGGAAGCCTTCTACTCATAACGTAATAGCTCCAGCAGCAAAGAAACAAAAAAACTCATCCACGAAAGTGGCTCAAAAGTGAATGCTGGAGTAACGCTCGGTGAAGAGCACCGCCAACTTTGCAACAGCCTCGGCGCAAGACACAACCTGCTGCCCCGTGTGCTGGCTGAAGCCAGAAATGCTTGCCTCAGGAATCTACGCAGTACCTACACTCGCTCTTTGCCACCCAAAGCGGCCGACAGCCATGAGGTTGGGTAGTTCCTTAGCAAGGACACAGCTCATCTCCGCCGATTGGGGCCAGGTCATCCTGTGTCAGCATCCTGGGATGGGAATTGTCGAAGCCCGCCTTTGGCTTCATTTTATCAGTTACTGATGCCAGTTGGTTTTGAGGGCATCTTCAAAAACTCTCTGGTTATTTAGGCCCACTGCTTGGGGTTGAGCCGTTCTACATTACCGTATTCGTGCTCGTCTTGCTTTGGACCATCAGCCTGTTTCTTGTGGTGCTTTTGCGCCCCACCGGCATATCGCGTCTCCATCTCGTTCAAAAAGACTGTCTTCCTTGACGCATAGTCTTGTGGCTTTGGCGGATGTTTTCTCGCTGCTGGTGTGCGCTTCATAGATCGGTCGTTCTCCTTCATTGTGCGCTCCTCTGGATGATTGCAATCATCTCCTCTTTATGCATGGCCCCATAATCCATACGCTGCCGCGACGGTTTGGTAGGAACGGGCTTAATTTTTAGGAGGGCTCGGTCTGTGCCGTATCCGCACACTGCGACAACAGCTTTAAAGATCATGAGGTCTGGTCCGAGTAGCGTCTCTGAAGATGGCCTGCGATGGCTTTTATCTTGAG